AAGCATAGGAAGCTGCAGACCAATTATAATAATGAGATTCTTCTGGGGTCAACAATAATAATGAGACGATCCTTTGGGTTTGGCAACCTTTACGATCCTTAAGGTTAGGCACCCTTTACAATCCTTAGGGTTAGGCACCGGGAGTACTGCACTTTACCCGGGCGTACTTTTTCAGATTAATTAGCGCTGCTGGGGTTCCCTAACCCTAACCCCTAACCCTAAGGATCGTAAAGGGTGCCTAGTAACCCTAAACCCTAAGGATCGTAAAGGGTGCCATACCCTACCCGAAGGATCGTAAAGGGAGAAGCGAGGGCTGCTCCCGGTAAAGTGCATTCTAGCCTCCCTTTACGATCCTTAGGGTTAGGCACCCTTTACGATCCTTAGGGTCTGGCACCCTTTACGATCCTTAGGGTTAGGGTTAGGGAAACCCAGCAGCGCTAATTAATCTGAAAAAGTGCGCCCGGTAAAGTGCAGTACCCCCCAGATATTGCGACATGACAAAAGAATAATAGCAAATAAGGAACACGTACCTGGTGACAACAACTGTCTTGTAAATTATAAAAATCCGCGAGACATTTCACAATTCTTCTTGAAATGAAAATGACAACGTACGGTCGGTCTGGCAGTAATAACCGCTGTCTATTAAACTATTTAAAACACGCTCTAGTTTGCACTAATGCTTGCAGAAATGTAGCAGGTGCGGTCGTCTGTTCTTCGTTATGACTGCACGATTCCCTCGCCTACTTTTCACCGTCTCCGACTCAGATGTGATGCCCAAGTTAGATAACTCTTCGTGAACCGGTGTTGATGATATCCGATAGTCATCACCACTCGCCCCTTTCCGTAACAAGTCCCGACAAAACGCGAGGTGGTCACGAATGTATCCGCTTATACAGTCTTGTTATTTTTTAGTTGAATCGGATAACCGAGGGCATTGTCGTAAAAACACGAAAAATTCCGAGTGCGCAGTAATTGGAAACAAATTACGTATTTTGTATGTGAAAACAAAGGACTACGACCTAGCAACAGTCAAAACAGCACAGACTTTAAAAAGGAAGAATATTACGCCACAGTATTTACACAAATATATTTCAGATTTAACATGGAAACTGCCTAACAGCATTAAATGAAATGAATACTCCCTCACGTAGTAAATAATGGCAACCGGACAAAACTGCAAACTCCAAACTAGTTAAAGGTCTAAGGTTCGAAACGAGAGAAAGGAAGCAAAAAAACAAAACAAAACAAAACAAACAAGAAAGTCATTCGCAAAACGCATAACAATAAACCATATCCTGACCGAAATGACAATAATTCCCTAAAACGATTCAATAGCCCTGTGTGTCTATTTAACTCGGGCAAACTGTGGCCTACCATATAATATGTCTGTTTTGAACAGTGATTGGTACACATCATGGCAACCGAATTAGGGCTGTGTATTGGGAAATAAATTGTATTGCAATATTATGCAATTATAGACTCTTGCAAGCTCGGTCGATATTGTTTTACTCAGGTCAATAAAAAACCGATATCGACCTCTACAAGAGTCTATAATTGTTTTATTATATAGACAAAGAGAAACAGGTTTTAACATAAACTTTTAATGCACACATTGTGCCATCTATCCGAGTGATCTGATTGGCTGAAAAGCGGGGGAAAGCCCCTTCGTACGGGATTCCTTGTCTATTTTTTAGTAACCCAAGTCAATATCGTAATTTATCAGAAAACTCAAGTCAATATCGTGTTTTGTAGTCAATCATGTGACGGTCTTTTGACCAATCGTGGTACAGGAAAAATACTACCTATATAATAAATAGAGAATCTCACCCGAGTGTCTTTTGATATCAAATATATCACCACGAGCTGATAAAGTAACAAATATCCGAGGCTTGCCGAGGATATTTTTACTTATATCAACGAGTGTTGATATATTTGATATCAGAAGACACGAGGGTGAGATTCTATTTATCATCAAAAATCACTCTTCATTAGTTTTCAATGAAAAATGTACATCTCTGAACACAGTACTGCCATTAAATTTGCAGTGCAGTGATGTCATAACATTGTGACGTCAACAAGTTCATGACGTCATAGCATTGTCAGGGCATTGTACAAAATCTACTGTCTACTTTTGCTTGTCAGTAAGTGACACTTATTGTACATGTCAATCCTACTTTCTACATTTTAAGTCTCTAAATTGCATGTTTTGGTTATGATAACAGAAATCTCAAAATTAGGTTGCATAGTCATGGATTCTATTTTCTTTTCTATACAGTTTATTGTATTACAGGATGTCGTTTTGTAATTGAATAACGAAGTAAAACATTTGTTGTGAATGAAAGTGTGTACATTTTAATTCAAACCATAAAGGTAATCACAAAAACTTCATAAGACCGCCTCCGTGGTGTAGTGGTTAGAGCGTCCGCCCGGAGTGCGAAAGGTCGCGCGTTCGATCCCCGACCGCGTCATACCAAAAGACGTTAAAATATGGTACTTGTTGGTCCCTGCCTGACGCTCGGCATTAATGGGTACAACAAGGACTGGTCGGCTCGGAGTCAGTATAATGTGTCTGAGTGGAGTATTCATGCTTCACTGCGGCATGGTATCTCAGTGGGCTAGCACTATAAAACCAGCATAAGTCTGGGCTAGTACAAGCAGTCGCACATACACATACACACGCATGCACGTCGTCATATGAGCGAAATATTTTCAAGCACGACGTTAAACCCAATTCCACCACCACCACCACAAAAACTTCATATATGTTCTTTACCCAATATACCGGTTCTCAGAAAATATTGCAATACGTTTGTTTGCAAAGCGTATTGCGATTATCCGGTATATCGGTAATACCGTGCAGTTCTAATGACAACTGTTTAATAGTGTTTAATAACTGTGTGATAACTAATCGTACCTTACACCCAGTCATCAACACACTTCAAATGTAAAACTTCTGATTTGTTGTCAAACGATGGGTATACTTGTCATGAGAAAAGGGAAACCCACGGATGTTTCGACCCTGACCCTTTTGTATGGGGATATATGTATATACATGTATACTCATGCCAATAATGGTTGTCACCCCTCCCACCCCAACCCCACACCTCACACCCCCACCCCACACCCCTTTCCAATTAAAAATTGAAGGAGGTGACAACCATTATTGGCACGAGTATATGTATAGAATAAGCAAGAGAAAGACAGGAAGTTGGGTTTCTTGGAAATGCCCTAAAAACGATTGTAATCCGACTGTTTCTACGATCAATGGAATTCTTTTGAAACAGCCATCAACGCACAATCATTCCTTGTGATATGTTATTGACAGCAGATTAATGTAAATAAATAAAACTAAAGACTAAATATAATGTACATAATTCTTTTCACAGCAGCTTATTGTAGCAATTAGGACTTCTTGCCTGAAGGGCAGGAGACCTATTGTAATCGTTCGGATTATTATATATTATTCAGCAGTAAGTTGTACTAAATATACCTCCTAAACCAGTTCTCAAAATCGCGTCCAAAAGTTCACCAAGGTGCCTTCAGTTGTTTGCGCAAAAATCTCAAGACTCCAGGCTCAATAGCAAAGGGCAGAGAATTCAAAATTTATTCTAAAAAAATCAATTTCCAGATCAATAATCTCCAAAACTACTGGTCTAAAAAACTCAGAATTTCTGCTACAGATCCAAAATCAGAATCCCTACAATTTCAAGTGCAGGGCCCATGTAGCTTCAAGGCACCATTTGTCCCGTGAAGATCTGGGTTAGAATTGATCTTCAGTAACCATAAAGCTTGTCGTAAGAGGCGACTAACGGGATCGGGTGGTCTGGCACGCTGACTTTGTTGACACATGTCACCGTATCCCAATGACGTAGATCGATGCTCATCCTGTTGATCCCTGGATTGTCTGGTCCAGACTCGATTATTTACAGACCACGGCCATATAGCTGGGATATTGCTGAGTGTGGCGTAAAACTAAACTCACTCACTCACTCTGCACATTGAGCACAAAACGTGCCGACGTGTGCCTGCCTTCGATGGCCGCCATATCGAGTGCTACAAAGCCACAAAAGCCATTGCCAAAATCATACTACACACTCCTCTGATTCAGAGGCGGTGGGGTAGCCTAGTGGTTAAAGCGTTGGCTCGTCACGCCGAAGACCCGGGTTCGAGTCCCAACATAGGTACGATGAGTGAAGCCCATTTCTGGTGTTCCCGCCGTGATGTTGCTGGAATATTGCTAAAAGCGGCGTAAAACCAAACTCAGTCAGTCAGTCTAACCCTGTTTCAGCAAATAAATAAGTTTTTTTTACAGCAAATAAGTAAGTTTTATACTCTGGTTCATAACAACTCAAAGTTAACCAATGAAATATTTCCATTACTGGCAGTGAAATGATCCATATTAACGGTAGCCATTACTACTTTCAACAACTGCGTGACAAATACAATTGACTAGATTGTATTAGAGCCAAAGAGCCCTCATCGTTGCTTGTGACTATATTTTATTTATTTGTTGATGTTTTAAATTACTTGGTAAAAGACTTTGAATTCATTTATTTTGTAGGTCTGAGTCACTTTGCTTTGAGACAATTTGTAATAAATGTAGATGCAGAAAGATCAAGTATGAACAATGGAAAAGGGTTAGAGTATTTTTAATTCATGGTGATCTTCTCAAACGTTTGTTGGCATTGGTGTCATTAAGGCCTGTGTTCTCAAAACTGTATAAGGTTTCGCTTGCATGTTGAATATCATACTCCGTTACTTTTGTTACTAATGCAGCTACTCATATATCCATTCGCTAGATATACCTGCGGTGAAAATGCAATATGAAGCCGTTTTAACCATCTTCTAAAATTACCAATTTGTACATGGGCTGATTTAGATAGAGCTTATGAAAATGTGAGCCCTTTACGCATGCGCTACCACCTATTACTTCCTACTTCCGTCAATAACAAGAAATGTCGAAATCGTGGGAATTTCCCAACTGCGTGATTGTCAATGCCAGTTGTTTACGGAAGTGATATCAAGAGGCTAGGTTGCGCGCGCAACCGGTAGGCAGAAGGCAACAATGGCCACCGACAACAATGCGAATCGCTGTAGCATGGAAGTTAAACAATGGTCAGATTATGTGCTGAAGTTATCTGTTGAAGACCGCGAGAGGTATATTTCAAAGCTGACATCTGGTGAGGGTACTCGTAGTTTGCCAGACCCTATTGTTTGGCGAGCGGCTGGGTTGACGACCCGTCTTTGTGGCCGGCCATAACATTTACGGACATATATTTCTATCTTGTGGATACACCAGGACAATTCACTCACGACAGTTTGAGGGCGTACAAATCCTTAAAAGCGTACGACTACGTGGAAAGTGGACATGTTTACCCTATCTTTTATAATGCAATTGACGACCAGTCACCTTACTGCATTTTGAAGACGAAGGTGATTCCATCCCAGCGCCTTCGTGACAAACCACATCAGCCATGGGTTTGTGTCAAGAAATCTGAGGGGACAGTGTTTTGTGCCCACTGCACGTGTATGGCTGGGTAAGTTGGTTTTTTTTTATTGTATATAGTTGCCTATAATTTTCAACAGTTTTACCCAAATAACAGTGTATTTTTAGGATTGAAATATCTCAGATCTAAATTAAAGGATCCATATGTAATGGTTGGATTTTTGTAACAGATTCTATTTTTCATTGTTCCTTTTGAATTCTCATATCAATATCATTGCTTCAATACTTTTTAATATTATATAAAATTATACAATTTCATCTGTATGGTTCAAAAGGTGTTTTTCACGTTTTTTAAGTGTACAGCTACTTCTCAGATTATATAATTTTTAATATAATAAAAAGATATTGTTTGGATATTTCAGACTTGGAGAGGTATGCAGTCATGTGGCAGCCCTACTGTTCAAGGTTGATGCAGCTGTGAGGGCAGGATTAACCTCAAAAGCTTGCACCAGTGAAGCGTGCAAGTGGAATGCTGCTTACAGAAAAGAAGTAATGCTCTCACTTTTTCATATAAAATAATATACTTATTTAGCTTACTGTTCAGTATCATGTACTTTACATATGAAAACCATAGAAAATGAGGGGACTTACATTCATTATCAATTAGTGTTATATTTATATTGGCAATGAGGTGGCATAATGGTTGAAGTGTCTGCCTAAAACCACACACAGTTGCTCACTCTTACCTTATTATTTCAGCTCCAGCCCACCCCACTGTGTGAGGTTCAGCATCTGTTTGGACGTCGTCGGAAGGCAAACACTCCATCTGTGTCAGGAACAGGAAAAGCTCCACTTCCTGATATTGAAACACTTAAGTCGTTGAAAAGTGTATGCCCTAATGCTGTCTTTTTTAAGTGTATTCCTCCACTAGATGAAGAGGAAACCGACAGTGCTGAAGAAGATGGCGAGACACATTTGTTCCCCCCCCAACAATTACAAGTCTTGTGTGTGAGGACAGAATCACTGATGAAAATCTCGAGTCTGTTTGTGAGGAGCAGTGGAACTCTTATCAGTGCGAACCGGCACAGATTAGCAACTTGGAGGAAGTTACCAAGAACCAAGCTATTAGCCCTCTTTGGTTTGAACACCGAAAAGGAAGAATAACCGGAACCAAAGCCCATGATATCTTGGTGATGAAGAAGACCACAGATCCAAAGAACACCATCATGAAGGTAATGGGCTATAACACAAAGGACATCTCCAAGAAAGCTGCAGTTGCCTGGGGCAGTGACAATGAGGCCAGAGCACGTAAACAGTATGCGAAACATCAGACAACACAGCATGCTCAGTTTGCGTGTAGAACAGTGGGGTTACTGATAAGTTTGCAAAAACCTTACATGGCAGCATCAAGTGATGGCACTGTTATGTGCAAGTGTTGTGGTAATGGATGCTTAGAGATAAAGTGTCCATACAAGCACAGGGACCATGACATATCCACAGCAGTAAATGATAAGACCTTTTGCCTGGACAAGGACTTACACCTCAAGAAAGGACATAAATATTACTCACAAGTGCAGCTTCAAATGTATGTGCATGATGTAACCTACTGTGACTTTGTCATTTTTTACAAATAAGGACATGACAATAGTCCGTGTGCCCAGGGATGATGAGTTTTGTTCAATTCTCATAGCAAAGTGTGACACATTTTTCTTTAAACACATTTTGCCGGAAATTGTTTCAAGGAAACTTGAAAATGCAAAGCCTTGTTTGAGCGATGTTGTTACAGACACTGGTAATTCAGATATATGGTGCCTATGCCAGCAGGAGGAGTATGGTCGCATGATCATGTGTGAGGGAGCCAATTGTTCGTACACTTGGTTCCATTATAAATGTGTCAACATTAGAAGGAAACCAAAGGGTTCTTGGTACTGTCCAAGTTGTATCATGGGATAAAGTTTCATACATGTTCAGAAGGAATCCCTTCGTCAGAACATAAGAAATTTGTTCGAAGTATGTGTAAGTGCAGCTATGTAACCTCTTAGCAAAATTTTCACCATTAACATGGCCAAACTAAAATTTCATTTAAAGGTTAACTGTCAAATGGCTGACATGTGTTGGATTAGCAGACATGTCTTTACAATGGTACTATGTTACAAATATGTCAAGTGTATATGCATGTACACTATAAATGTCCCCTCCTACTGACCATGCGAGTCATTAATTGATTGTGGAGACATGCCATCTCGACACACAAATTCTGTCATGTAAAAACCAGGCCAGAGGGAAAAACTGATTTATGTATCTTCATATCATTTTGTTATTATATTTGTAATGTTTAATTCAATTGTGTTATCAATCACAAAACACTCAGATGATGTCAAAGAAAATTGTATTGACAATCATATTCTTTTTGTATATTTCAAACATGTCAACACAAAATGTATTGTTTTCAGTAGACTTCTACATGTCAATCTTCTGTAGGAAGAAACATCACAGTATCAATCACAAAACATTCAGATGTTGTCAAGCAAATTGTATTGACAATCATAGTCTTTTTGTATATTTCGAACATTTCAACACAAAATGTATTGTTTTCAGTAGACTTCTACATGTCAATCTTCAGTAGGAAGATGTATGACAGTACTATTAAATAACGTGTTCATTTCACAAGATGCATTCGACAAATGCAATTTTTTTATGTGTCAAACATGCTTGATCTCTGTACATAAAATGAAGACTGTTTCAAATGGGGAAGAATACACACTATATTTGCCATTTAATCCTGTGTTTGTTGTTAATTTAAACATTTGAAAAACAATTACTGAAATCAATATGTTACCAAATATCTCATTTAAAATCTTAAACTAAATCAGAATAGATATCAGGAACATTGGGCCTTATTTGTTTACTGACTGGCTTACAAATTACATTCCCATTGCTCATAGTCATGTAAACCAACACAATAAGTATTTATGAACAAGATTACACTACAGCAAATTTTGATGAAGATTTGACAGAGCACTGCATACAGTCATAATATTGTCAAAATGAGGCACAAGGTTGATCTTCAGGGTGGTGCTCAGAATCTTGAAGTTTTTTACTCTTTCTATAGCCCTCTCAACATGTATTCTGGCCCGTGACAGCCTCCTTCCAATTTCGATTTCTTTAGGGCTGAGCTGAGATTTCCCCCGTGTAAATGCTGGTATGGCAAGCTGCGCACCACATGCAGCAAGGTCATCCGAAATAAGGAATCCGCGATCAGCAAGGATCAGATCCCCATGTTCCAGAAGCTGAAGGAATCCTGAGCGCTGTGTGATGACTTTGTCCGAAACCCTTCCACCAAAGGCTCTCGACACAAAGGTGACAGCTCCATGGGGTGCAATTCCTAACAGAAACTTTATAGTGTTATGGCTTTTATAGTTGGACCATGTCATAGCTCGTGCAGTGAAATTGCCAGGCCTCTCAATAAATATTTCGCAACAGTCTATAATGACCCTGCACTTTCTGTAAGATTGTTTGATCACTTTGGGCATATTTCTTAATATATCGTCACTTTCAGGCCAATGTATCAGGAATGATAATTTGTGGGCAAGTGGTGGAATGGTCTTACTGATTAAATCATTCACAGTTTGTCTTGACACTCCAAATCTGTAGGCCAAGTCCTGGTCTACTAGATTCAAACGTAGCTTCATCAGCACCAACATGAGCACACTGGCAGGAGTTAGAGTCATCGAGACAGGAAGTATATGTGCACAGAACTGAACTAACCACAAGAAGCTGGCATGACTAGAGATACCTGTGAAAAACAATGTCTTTCCATCCTTCTTGTCTCCTTCCAAAAATCGGTCACTGAACCTACAAGCTCTGAGCTGATGTCTTGTATCCTGTAATTCAGCTTGTAGGTTTTCTACCTCTGTGAGCAGCTGTCTCTTTTCGGCTTTCAGTTTCATGATCACTTCAATGCAGGGGTCATGTAAGTCTGGAAAACAAATTGAATTATTAAATGACTATTTACCGCCCAAAGTGAGAAAATACAAACTATGTGAAAGGAGGATGTATGATAAGGGTCCCTTTTGTTCACTTCTTTTCATGTTTGATAACATATTGGAAAAATACCTATGAAATAATTAGTGAACATTCAAGTTGATAATAAACAACATAATATTTTTGATCATCATTCCAGGTTTCCTTATGGAAAATACTACATTAAGAACTAAAATATGGCTTCCTATATAAATATTTCCATTCATGAAATAGAACTTTCAGATACCTCGTGCAGGCTGATTTTCTTCTTCTTCAACACCTTGTTCACTCTGCTCATTGAGGGAAGAATTGAGTGACAACTCAAGTAGAATTGAGGCAGCATTACTTCTTTCTTGGCTATCCTTGGCTTGTTTGTTCTTGGTATCTTCTCTAATCTGTGCCCTGTAAAAACGATCTTTCCTCGCTTCAGGTGTCATCATGGATGCAGTCTTATATCCCATGTTGACATGTGGAACATAGTCTGGATCACTTGGGTCACTTCTAGCAGATCCTGGAAATAAATTCAAAATCTTAACTGCAAATCACACATTTATATAAAAGAGAAAATAATGTGAGGATCTTACCTAGATTTCCAAAAATATAGCTCATTTGGCATACGCTTATCAAAATAAAAAAAGATATTCTGATCGAAAACTGGACAGTTCTATCAAACCAACATTATTACATTTGATATGTTAGAAAAAAATAAAAACATGTTTTTAAAATAAATATTAAAAGGTGACTATCGTATATCATTGTTGGGTTCCCCCATTATCTTGTTGATGGTTCACAGTACATACTGATATATGAAGCCATAACCCATTTGCCACAACGTACTATCTACAGAATCACAAGATTATCACGATGACAATGAAACAATGAAAATTATGGGTTGTTGGCCAAAGAAATGTAAATATTCAAACCTGATGCAAAGTGAACTCCACAAACTCGATCACCATCATGATCAGGCGTCCAATTCTTGCGGTTGATCGCTTGAAGCCACTTGCGTCTTCTTTCATCGGCAGTCGGAATTCGATGAAATTTCAAGCCTGAACCTTTTTGAAATCTATTCGTGCAACCAACTACCACGCACGACACAACCATGTTACTTAGATTCCAATGTAAGCGATAAATTATGCAGGAGAAATGGATCTTATTCGTATAATGCTAGAACGTCTTCTCGCTAATGCGTTGTCTGCTGTTGTGTTGACACTTTTCTGCCTACCGGAAGTTAGGGTAGGCCACGTGATCAAAACAATGAGGTCACGCTGGCATTTCTTTATATTATACTGAGAAAATATTTCCTGAACATTTGCCTGAAAAGTTGTTGTCGATATACTCCCAGATTATTTCCCTTTGTATACACATACCTGCAAGGGTCAATTGTCAGGTCGGTGCTCAACTTATCCTTGTTTGCCAGTAGTATTAGATACTTTCAACAGAACATGATCCCATGTTGATAAATGATGAACGATTCTGTTCAGTTTTGCATTACCTTTATTAATAAATCTAAGTCATATGATTACTGCTATGTAACTGAATTATGAGTATACAAGTGTTTCTGCTTGCACCAACAAGTCAGGTAGAGAGAAACATATTACTTCCTGCCTCTTTCTTCCTAATCATATCACACGATGACAGATGTTGGAGGTTCTGTTGTTACCTGCACTGGGTGCAACCTGTTACTAGAGGTAACCTGCACCGGGTGCAACCTGTTTCTAGAGGTAACCTGCACCGGGTGCAACCTGTTACTAGAGGTAACCTGCACCGGGTGCAACCTGGTACTAGAGGTAACCTGCACTGAGTGCAACCTGTTACTAGAGGTAACCTGCACCGGGTGCAACCTGTTACTAGAGGTAACCTGCACTGGGTGCAACCTGTTATTAGAGGTAACCTGCACTGGGTGCAACCTGTTACTAGAGGTAACCTGCACCGGGTGCAACCTGTTACTAGAGGTAACCTGCACTGGGTGCAACCTGTTACTAGAGGTAACCTGCACTGGGTGCAACCTGTTATTAGAGGTAACCTGCACTGGGTGCAACCTGTTACTAGAGGTAACCTGCACTGGGTGCAACCTGTTATTAGAGGTAACCTGCACTGGGTGCAACCTGTTACTAGAGGTAACCTGCACTGGGTGCAACCTGTTACTAGAGGTAACCTGCACTGGGTGCAACCTGTTACTAGAGGTAACCTTCACTGAGTGCAACCTGTTACTAGAGGTAACCTGCACTGGGTGCAACCTGTTACTAGAGGTAACCTGCACCGGGTGCAACCTGTTACTAGAGGTAACCTGCACTGGGTGCAACCTGTTACTAGAGGTAACCTGCACTGAGTGCAACCTGTTACTAGAGGTAACCTGTACTGAGTGCAACCTGTTACTAGAGGTAACCTGTTACTAGAGGTAACCTGCACTGGGTGCAACCTGTTACTAGAGGTAACCTGCACCGGGTGCAACCTGTTACTAGAGGTAACCTGCACTGGGTGCAACCTGTTATTAGAGGTAACCTTCACTGAGTGCAACCTGTTTCTAGAGGTAACCTGCACTGAGTGCAACCTGTTACTAGAGGTAACCTGCACCGGGTGCAACCTGTTATTAGAGGTAACCTGCACTGGGTGCAACCTGTTATTAGAGGTAACCTGCACTGGGTGCAACCTGTTATTAGAGGTAACCTGCACTGAGTGCAACCTGTTACTAGAGGTAACCTGCACCGGGTGCAACCTGTTACTAGAGGTAACCTGCACTGGGTGCATTCTGTTACTAGAGGTAAACTGCACTGGGTGCAACCTGTTACTAGAGGTAACCTGCACTGGGTGCAACCTGTTACTAGAGGTAACCTGCACTGGGTGCAACCTGTTACTAGAGGTAACCTTCACTGAGTGCAACCTGTTACTATAGGTAACCCTACTGTGTGCAACCTGTTACTAGAGGTAACCTGCACTGAGTGCAACCTGTTACTAGAGGTAACCTTCACTGGGTGCAACCTGTTATTAGAGGTAACCTGCACTGGGTGCAACCTGTTATTAGAGGTAACCTGCACTGAGTGCAACCTGTTACTATAGGTAACCTTCACTGGGTGCAACCTGTTACTAGAGGTAACCTGCACTGAGTGCAACCTGTTACTAGAGGTAACCTTCACTGATGCAACCTGTTACTAGAGGTAACCTGCACTGGGTGCAACCTGTTACTAGAGGTAACCTGCACTGAGTGCAACCTGTTACTAGAGGTAACCTGCACTGAGTGCACCCTGTTACTAGAGGTAACCTGCACTGGGTGCAACCTGTTACTAGAGGTAACCTGCACTGAGTGCAACCTGTTACTAGAGGTAACCTGCACCGGGTGCAACCTGTTACTAGAGGTAACCTGCACTGGGTGCAACCTGTTACTAGAGGTAACCTGCACCAGAGCATATTGTAAATAGTGAAATCGCACCATCATGGCAGTAGGATTTTAATAATACCATACGAATTTTAATGCTTTCAAACACAGGCAATATTTCAGTTGATATGTAAACTTTTATCTCTCTGCAACCACTGGTGTGATTCTGCTTCTCTATATGTTTCAGATGACCGCTGTCCGTGTGTCGGTCAGCAGCATCAATAGCACGAGGACCTCCCCTGTCATGGTGGTTGTAAGACAGAGCGAAGGAATCATGTCCTGGGCAGTGCCGCTCTTCATTGACTACATGTAATACTTCCTCATTTCAACCCTTTTAGGGACGGTGGGGTAGCCTAGTGGTTAAAGCGTTCGCTCATCACGCCAAAGATCCAGGTTCGATTCCCCACATGGGTGCATTGTGTTGTAGCTCATTTCTGGTGTCCCCTCTGTGATATTGCTGGAATTTTCTAAAAGTGGCGTAAAACCATCCTCACTCACTCACTCTTTAATGAAACCCACGACCAAGGGTATGGTGCTGAACTGGGATTCGAACCCATGATTAGTGGTTTCTGGCGTGCCAAAGGGACATAACTCTGTAAGCTAACTGAAGCGCCTCAGACAACTGAGGAACCAGTATCCCCTGTACGATTCAGAGAATAACCTTTGTGAAATTTAGCAATATACTGGCAATATTGCGGTGGGGAACACCAGAAATGGGCTTCACACATTATACCAATGTGGGGAAATCGAACACGGGTCTTCAGTGTGACGAGGGAACAGTTTAACCATTAGGCTACCCCACCGCCCTGTTTCGTTAAAGAGGTAAAAATATACTCCTCATAAAAATTAAGCCATAAGTATTTTCAATGTGATATCTTTATCAATTTCGATAGCGATTTTTGTCGATATGTTACTGAAAGGTAAATATTCAAAGAATGCATAACCTTTAGTGACTGTCATATTGATTTGTCTGATAACATTGACAACGTCACCCGAACACAACCACCCTCAGAAACAGCATGCAAAATGTGTGGCATGAATGTCCTCCACTCTTCACACATGCACCCTGATCGGTGTAAACCTACCTGTAATCATTCCTGTGGTACAACAAGTCCTAGCTTCATTTTTATGGATGATAATGCCCGTCCACAGACTGATGAAAAAAGAGTTGTTAATGATGTTGTTTAGATCAACAACATCACACATATGGACTGTCCTGCAAGATCACTTGATCTTAATCCCATTGAACATGCTTGGAACATTATTGGAAGTCGTGTTTACAGTCTCCATGTTCACCCCCAGACTCTGGATGACCTTGAGCAGGCGTTACAGAGAGAATGGCAGAATATTGCACAACAGCAACTTTAAAGGCTCATTGGTCAACGCAGAGACGTGTAGAAACTTGCATTTGTGCTCATGGTGGTCATGAACACTGCTTCACTGTCAGAAACAGACTTGAACCTCAATGTTAACATACTGCTCCATCAATGCAGCACATTTCGCACGACTGTTTCGCCGGGTACATGCTTTTGATTATTTGTAAGTCTAGTCTACAAACTTATCAAAAACATCTAAAGTCACATCTATTTGAGATGAAATAGACTGGGACTGCACAAGCACCTTTGAGCAGCCTAGCTTGAACTCGGCGCTATAGAAGTAGATTATTATTATTATTTCATTATTTCATTTCATTTTGTTAATCGTGTGTACATATGTTTCACCTTTCTGTTGCATCATTCCATGATTTGCAATTTCAATAAATGAAATTGTAATGAGACTACAAAATGTATTGCTTAACTTTTTATGAGGAGTATATAAATCCTTCCAGCTTTCCTTCCACATTAATCTGACAAGCCATGATATAACGAAGTGAATGAATATTTCATTTTCAGCCCATGGTGGTTGGATGACAGGCATTTTAATTTGAGTTCAACATTTTTTCTTAATGTTTTTTTTTTCAAATAATTACAAATTAAACTGAATTCTATGGATTGTTTTATGCTTGAAAATGGTTAATTTATTTGTTTGAAAATTCACTCGCATCGCTCCATGAAGTAAATAATGGCTCCATATTGAAACCATTTTAAAAGTTAACATTATACAATTATAGACTCTTTTAGAGGTCGATATCGGTTTTATTGACCTGAGTAAAACAATATCGACCAAACTTGCGAGGTTGATATTGTTTTACTCAGGTCAATAAAAACCGATATTGACCTGTACAAGAGTCTATAATTGTTTTATTATATAGACAAGGAGAAACAGGTTTTAACATAAACTTTTAATGCTCACACTGTGTCATCTCCGGGATACAGCTCATCATTACGTAACACATCTTCACAATCAAAATAATTCATTAAATGTACCAGAAACATCAAAGACAACTTTTAAATAACAAATTTTTAAAAAGAACGATATCAGTCTGAATATATAGATGATTGTTCATCTAGCTACTTTATTACTGCTTAGAGTTGAAGTTATAATTGATGGTCACATTACAGTTATTAATAACTGGTCCTGGCATCTGAATCATCCGTCTATTTGTCATGCTGTGATTAAGTACATGCATATTGTTATCAGACACAGAAACAGATGACTCAGGTACAGGGAGAGTTTTGAGAACCAAGCCGGTTCTGTCCAAGGGGAACCGCATGATATAATTTTCCATTTCTGAATTTGGTTGCTGCAAAAGTTTTGGACAATATTTATTCAAGCGACGAATTTAAGACGAATGTACTTGATGAAAGTCCTCACTGGACATCTGGGATCGTCTGTAAGATATAAACCAATAATAATAATAATAATAATAATAATAATAAATGATAAATGATAAAAGTGATCATACATATATTTCATTCGAACTCAGGATGTAATTTTAGCTAAAATTATGCTGCAAACAATTTGATAGCAAGAGTTGCCTCCCTTTCCGTTACAAAGCAAAATGGGTGACAGGTCATGGTTTCCAGTTACGTAATTTTCCAGAGTGTCGATATAATGTACAGTAAGCCTAATATTTGGAATTGAATGTCACTATTTGATAACATAACAACATACCTTTCTTCTCATACATTCGCCCTTGAGCTTATTCTGAAAACTGAGAGATTTTCTCTTCCCCGTCTTCCGAAATGAAGCATGATGTCAACGAATACCTGTAATATAAAAACATGCCTATCTTATTTGGGAAATCTGTAAATTGATATTCAATATTTTATTTGTATCGCTGTTTATACATGAATCTATTGTCTAGATCTATTTGCCTTGATGATTTTACGAAACTCCATGTGTGTGTTAAAAACTAGTTTTATATATTCACCTTATACTGTAGAAGTAGTGGGGAATCTGAGCTGCACATATAGTCGTGAAAGCCTCGCCATATCAGCTTCTGCAACAGGTGGGTAGTGTTTGATCTCAAGCTAACCCGATTTTTTTAGTTCCTTTCCCATAGCCTTGAACGCTGTCGTTGATTCTTTGAAATTGGCTCTGATGATATCTATTCCTCTTCTTGTTTTTCCAAGTGTCTTTGGATGCCATGTTGATAAGACATTAAAGTTACTTTCTTGTAGTGTTCTCCTTTCTCTGACCTGGCTTCCAGGTAAAATTTAGCCAGTGATGAATCAAGTTCATCTTCGCTAAAGTTCTCAAAATCAGCTGATTTACTCCTTTGTTGTAGATATTCTCTGAAAACCTTCACAGCAGTGTTAGTTGACCTTTTAGTATTCTTTAAATCGATATTTTCCAAGATCTCCTTCTGTTTGTCATCTGTAATTTCAGCGAAACGCTGATTTCTATTGACGAACGCTGAAGCCATCGCTGAACGGCTAAAAATAGCGCGTGTGGGAATGACGTCAAATCGAGTGATCTGATTGGCTGAAAAGCTGGGGAAGCCCCTTCGTACGGGATTCCTCGTCTATTTTTTAGTAACTCAAGTCAATATCTTAATTTATCAGAAAACTCAAGTCAATATTGCGTTTTGTAGACAATCACGTGACAGTATTTTGACCAATCATGATACAGGAAAAATACTACCTATATAATAAACTGTGTCATATGTCACGGAAGTGTGTCGAATGTCACAGAACTGTGGCGAATGTCACAGTTTCCTGTCACTTTGATATCAAACAGTGATGCATGTATCTCTAACCTGTGAACCAACATCCTTACTTTCTGATTCCTCATGCCAGTTATGTTTTAATAAAGGTGACCTAATGTACTTGGTGTTGAGTGAGTGAGTGAGTTTAGTTTTACCCCGCACTTAGCAATATTCCAGCTATATGGCAACGGTCTGTAAATAATTGAGTCTGGACCAGACAATCCAGTGATCAACAGCATGAGCATCGATCTGCGTAACTGGGAACTGATGACATGTATGCGTCAACCATGTCAGCAAGCGTGACAACCCGGTCCCTTTAGTCGCCTCTTATGACAAGCATCAATGCTTGCATTTAAACATGGTGTAACCAGGATATTTAGAATTGAAAACTTAAAATACATTTGGTAAATATTTATGGAAAATTTGAATTCAAAGTTAAGAAGTGTCATTGTACTTGGAAAGTGCATTGACCAGTGTAATCAAAATACATATCGATTCATTTCTCTTGCGTATAACAAATATAATAAGGTATGTTATGTTTGAGATTACACTTTCTTAGTAAAGTACAGATTCTAGTACTTTTTGGGGGTTGAGTCCCATCCGGGATTCGAACCAACACCCTCATAGTTAGGCACCTAATCGCCAGCACACAAAGTCAGACGCCTAGACCACTCAGCCACCGCGGCTTCCACGCGGAAGGTGCCTAACTCTGAGGGTGTTGGTTCAAATCCCAGATGGGACTCAACCCAAAAAAGGTACTAGAATCTATACTATACTAAGAAAGTGTTATCCCAAATATATCATACGCTACATTTGACCACTTTCTAATATGGCATTATGTATTTCAAATATAATAAGGGATAAGGGAGGATAGCTTGGACCGGGTGACTCATGTAGCATTTAGGAAATTATGATATTAGAAATCAGAAACGGGACACACATGATGATTCAGCTGAGTATCTTCTGGCGCCGGCCAGTCTGAAGTACATGTGTACTAGTAGGTTATGCACATTTGAATGCTTCACAAATGACTTACGCTCATTAGCAATTAAACTCATAATGGAAGAATTTGATGGTACCGATTAAGTCTTTGAAGAGAGGAAATGAAAGTAATTAGTGGTTCAGCTGGGATATGAGTCATTTTTTATGTGATGTAGCACATTATTTCAGGGGCAGGAGCCAAATTGTCTTTCGTTCTATTTTGTTAATTGTCCGGTGAGTGCTGCTCAACTTTGGGCCCCACCGTTGAGTTAAGAGGTTTTCTCTGTGCATTGAGAGAATGGCTCAGATGAACTTATAGCATTAAGAGTTGTACAAGGAATCAACAAGTTCTTCCATGAAGTTTGTGAATCAGTGTTGTGTGTAGACCAGGAAAACTAGGCAATATCTGAGGACCTTTGTGTGAGAATTCATTCCAAAATACATGGACTTGAACACCATACTGGACTTATCTTTGAGTATCCATCTTAGCTACGTCATCCCCAGAACAAGAGTGGATAGACAGATTGCCGAGGGAGAAGGGTATAACACCCAGACACCCTCAGGTAACAATGGCTCTAAGCAATAAAACGGCTCCATGGGCCGCCGATACAGTGAATCGATACAAAGTTTTACATTGTCGTATACGATACTTCGAATGGGCAACGATACATCGATGTTTCAGTTTGAATGTTGCCGAATCGCGATATCTGTCAAGAAAAAAGACTCACTTTTGTTTGATGATTAAAATATTTGCTTACTTATTTTCTGTTCAGAAGTAAACGTTTTCTCGCAAATTCTTGCTTCAAGAACTGTGTCAGACAGCGCTCACATGTTATTATCATTCACAAAGTCTGTGTATAAACTTAATTATCTCGTTTCCGAATGAACATTGAAAAACACTGGCGGAATTTGATGAAATACTTTAAAATGGTTTTGTTTTGATATTCAGGTGTTTTATAGTTGGTGTTAGAATTAAATATTTTACTATCGGGATGCGTATCGTATCGTCACCCTTATATCGGGATTGGTATCGTATCGCAGCTTCAGTGCACGATACTTTGGCAATATATCGTCGTGACTAAAATTTTAGCATCGTGATGTATCGTATCGCAGGTTGTATGCCAATACCAGCACTAGTGTTCATAATCCTCATTGTTCCTCACGTATCATAGTATCCTGAGTAACACGTGGCAGTGTATTCCTGAGTAATTGATCACACATGTTGCTGATCTCTATGCAAGTTTTTACCAACAAAAGTGTCGGGAAAAAACTGATTGTCGGATAAACGGAAGTCAGATTAACAAGACTTGACTGTATATCACAGATATCAATAATGATAACTAAATATTGATTTATTACTGGCTAAATTTTTTAAGAAATAAACTTGAGAAAAAAATGTACAAAAATATTTTCAAAAGAAATCAACACTTTCAACATGTAAACATAATTGGGATTGGTGAACAAGCTTTACAGTTTATGTTAACACCGCTCCCATGCAACATATAATACAAAATTAAATGGAGGATGTGACGTCATCGATATTGACTGTTGCATAAATATAATATTTATAATATTTATAGATATATATATATATGTATATATCTACACACACACACACATTACATCAAATACAACTATTCTCTAAGTGGTCATAATTAGAGAGTTACAGTTCTGTGTGTCTACCCAGCCATTGTAGAAATGTAAATCAATCCTAAGAAGGTTGTTGAGTTAATTTAATTATTTTCCTGAGTAAATTTGAAGGGTTGTGTCATGAGGATATAATTGTGGACAGATTCAACTATTTTCTGGTTTACACAAGGAGTAAATTCTTTCTTTCCCTTCAAGATGGTATCCAGGTTATAACCGTGTAGTGTAAAATACATATTAAGTCTTAACTGAGTATAGATACCGCAAGTGAGGAAATAGTGTAGGGCGTTTTCACTCTGATGTCCACAAGAACAACATGGGCTGTCTATTAAATGTCTGTTATACTTATCGGCGTTTAGGCCGCTACATCCGAGCCTGAGGCGGCAGTGAACGATTTGACAAAAACGAGTGCCATAGTTAAGATCAAAATAAATCTTATTTTTGTTTTTCATAATTAGGTTTTTAAATTCTGTGAGACTACATGATTCTTTGGAATTTGGTAGGTCATTCCAAAAATTTATTGTCTCGTGTAGAAATGATTTGGCATAAGAGGCAGTTCGACTGTAAATTCCTTGTATTTCAGTTATTTCTTAAATTATAACTTGTAGTTCTGGGGACAGAGTTTGGGATTGTCAGGCCCAGCTTGATTATTTATCAGCTGCAGCTGTGTAGCTGGAGTATTGCTGAGTGTGGCATTAACAAAGTAACATTAGTAAACAAACAAATGTCAGTTGAAATATAAATACAGTCGAGCACCGTTGGGTCGATATTCATGGGACCAAGAAAAAATATTGAGTTATCCGAACTTTGAGACATCCGACCAGGGCATATCATCACATATCCCTATGAACGAAAACAAAACGCTTCTCAGTATGTTTGATTTGAAAGTATAATCCGTTATCAGTCGTGTTTAGTCGTAACAGTGAGTACTTCCTAATTAATTCCTTCTTAATTAATTCTAATTATATAACAAACAAGTGACACCTTCAACTCAATTAGCCCTAATTAGTTTACACTACCGCATCCCTTTGATTCATGCCGCACCGTGTGTAAACGTGTGGAAACAACCTCAGTTCAGAGGGATACTTGCCCATGAAAGGTAGGTGAATATCGAGTTTCTTTGCAAAAATCGAGTTAAAAGGGTAATTTTGCTTGTTGGGACCATGAAATTATATCGAGATATCTGAAATATCGAGACAACCGTATCGAGTTAAAAGAGCTTGAATAGTGATAAATTATGAAGAATTTTGCCGGGACCGAGATGTTATATCGAGACAACAGAGATATCGAGTAACAGATTTCGACACAACAGTGCTTGACTGTACTGTGAATTTGTAAGCAGACATTTTGAGATTCCACAATTTTTCTACACCAAATATTCTTCTACACCATAACCTCAAGTTAAAGGCTGGGGCACAAACCTAAAAAAAACAAAACAAACCCACCCCTACCCACCCCGTGGGTTCCCAACTAGTCCCCCCATTGGCTACTCCTCAGCAGTGTAGATGTTATCTGCCCATGATATAATATGCAATAACTGCAGATCTGGAGAACTACAAAAGCCCTCTTAATTCACTGATGTCCATTTTATGTCTTATTAACATTTGGCCCCACCACCCCCCAACTTGCCATTTTAAAAATTATGGACCTTTTAACCTCAGAAATAGGCCTTAAATTCCAACTTGCTATTTATAGAGCAGTCGTGTGGACATTTAAAACACAGAAAGACCCCTTAAATTCCAACTTGACATTTCAAGAGCAGTCTTATGGAGATTTTACGCTCAGAAATCCTCCTTAAATTCTAACTTGATATTTCAAGAGCAGTCTTATGGAGATTTTACTCTCAGAAATCCCCCTTAAATTCCAACTTGCTATTTCAAGATCAGTCTTATGGACATTTTAAAGGCCAGTGTTCAAACCTATACACAGATGGGCTGTGGCCTCCTTGCCTTGTCAAAGCTGTCCTTAGATGCAAAGCAATGTAGTATTCAAATACATTCCATGGAATATCACAAAACTGACTCACCGGTTCAGACTGATATTAAGTCATAGTATAAAGAAGTCTGTTGTGAGGACTCACAGCAAAAAGTATGGATGCAGAGTGTCTACAAAACATACATTTTGAAAATATATTTCTCATTTTTAGATCCAGATTTGAATTTCCCACTGTGTCAGTCAGGTGGCCAGAGGAGGTGCGTTTCCATAGAAACAAGCCTTGGAGTGGGGAAATGTTTCATTCAGGGTTTCATATTTCAGGCAGGTTGGGAAAATGCCCCCCTCCCCCCATTCCCCTGACACCATGCTGTGCAGGGCTACGGTTGTCCACTTATCTGATGCTGACATCTCTTTGCTGAAGATTTTATATTCAGAATATAAGTAAAATTTGATGTTTCATATATATGCTAATCAAATTAATCTCTTTAGTCATCAAAAGATGAAGTGAAAGGGTTGTTGGACATTTACTATAAGGCACAGGTTTATTCAAGTAGTATATTCCAAGGTTAACCTTTGACATCCCCAGGCTCTTGCCAGGCACCCATAGCCGTTACAGCCTTTTCACTCACGGGCTGATAACATCTTCACTGATGAAGGGTAGCGAATGGGTGACTATTTGGCAAACCTACGAGGGTTTTGGAGTTTTGCGCCCTGGCCTTTAAGTTCAGAAATCCTTAAATTTAAATTCCAACTTGCCCTTCCAAAAGGGGAGTTTAATGGACATTTTAGGCACAAAAACCCCCTTAAATTCCAACTTGCTGTTCAAGATCAGTCTTATGGACATTTTAAGCACATGTTCATGTTTCAGCTATGCCTACTACTCCGTCAGCCGCACACTGTGCCCCATCTTTCATCGGCACAATTCGGACACAGAAGAAGTACAACATGAGATCTATGTTGACGTGTCCTCCATGGCTGTCAATGCCACGCCCTTCACATTTTCTGCCGAACTTCTACCCGACTTTGAGCTGAGGTAAGCGACTACTTGTTTACAGATCTCAAGCCAATTTTGCGGAGAGTTAACAGACTTGTTATCGTTTGTCAGACCCCGCCCAACTTTGAGCTCAGGGTGTCGTTCCACTAACCAATCTTATCTAAGATCAATCTTACCAGCGCCTTGAGCATGAAAAAATGAAAGCCGACATTTTAGCTTCTCTACAACTAGTACAAGTGATTTGGAGATCCTGTGTTGGTCATGAGCAACTTAGACTTTTGATCTTAACTTTACGATTTACTTGGGTAAGATTGATTATTGGAATGGTATGATGATTGTTACGTCATGCTAAGATTATGATTTTAGGGGTTTACGATTGGTGTAGAGCTAAGATCGGTTAGTTGAACGGCACCCAGGTAGTTGACTAGACATTGTTATCTTACTTTGGCCTGACTTGCAGCTGAGGTATAACTGTGATGTGCTGAATGGTCAACTTTACCATGTCATCCTACCGGGTACCCATTGACTGCCAGGTGAACAGAAGCACTTTTGAACGAGTCACATGTGTAAGGAAACACAAGTGATACATGTGTTTCAATCTTAATTCTCTCGATGAATTTGAGCTTCGGCACGTTCGAATTATTGAATTGATGATTGATTGGCTGTATGTATATGTGCTTCATGTGGACCTCTATGTTGTAGACATAATGAGATGAAGAATACAACCATTTCCCCATCGGAGCCCCAGTACTTCATGTACAAGTTTCCAGAAAACGTAACATCCGTTCTCATCAAGGTCAATTCCGCCTCGAAAACCTGCATGGTGGTCTCAATCCAGGAAATCAGGGTAACATGCTTGTCTGCTGGGTAACACTGTTCTATCAGTGTAACATACTTGTCTACTGGGTAACACTGTTCTATCAGGGTAACATACTTGTTTACTTGGTAACACTGTTCTGTCACGGTAAGATACTTGTCTACTTGGTAACACTGTCACATCAGGGTAACATACTTGTGTACTGGGTAACACTGTCACATCAGGGTAACATACTTGTTTACTTGGTAACACTGTTCTGTCATGGTAACATACTTGTCTACTTGGTAACACTGTCACATCAGGGTAACATACTTGTCTACTGGGTAACACTGTCACATCAGGGTAACATACTTGTCTACTGGGTAACAGTGTTCCATGAGGGTAACATACTTGTCTGGGTAACACTTTTCCTTCATGGTAACTTTTGTCAAAACATACCATGTTTGTCTACCAGGGTAACGCTGTTCCATCAGGGTAACAGTGTGTGTGGAACAAGGCGTCAGTAATTATTTGTGCTGGGAATTCAGGAATGCAATTGTGTTATGAATGTAAAAACATCAAAACCTGTCATTCATATGAGCATCTTTTTCATGACCAAGTCGTGTGTTTGATTTCCCTTCTAATGGAAAAAGTGCTATATTTTTCATACGTCTCATTATAAATGTCTGTCAATATCTGCTATTGGGCACAATATTTTAAATCAAATTCAAATAAGGCTCTTAATGAACCTGTTTTCATGATATTACCGTTTCCAGTGCCCTGTGTACGACCTTGACCGTAATGTGGAGTTTGCTGGCAAGTACCAGACAATGAGCACTCAAGCCGCCATGTTGCTTCAGGTATGTATAACACAGAGGAATTAAATAGAGGATATTATATGAGTGCGCATGTCATACTATGTTTACGACACGAGTGCCTAAATGTTGCTATTTCCCGAGCGAGAGCGAGGGATATGCCGATATTTAGGCACGAGTGTTGTAAACATAGTATGATATGGGCACAAATATAATATTCTGTTTATTACCGAAGTCGTCAAATTGAGGAAAATAAACCCAAATCAATTTTCAAACACGGCTGGCTACCTGACGTCGCTGTATGTAGAATGCAACGTCACAGAAGAAACGTGACGTCATAGCCTTGTACATGACGTCACGTCATGATGACAAAGTGATATTTTGCCCTAGGGCATCATATGAAAAATATGAACCCCGATATGTTTGCCCTCGTAGGCAATAAAGGAAAATACGTCCCTAGTAACGTCTCCATTTTGTAAGTCAGTTGATTGAGTAGTGAAACTCATCACTTGGTTGATTGTGTGTAGCAAAAACATGATGACGTGGATTGCCCACCTAATTTCAGTCACTGGATTGTCTGGGCCAGACTTGTTGTGGTCATATTGCTGAGTTGAAACACAACACCCTCCCCGCACACCATTATACTCGTGCTCTTGGGTTTACCAAAGTTCTGAGAAATGCATCCCTTGAGGCTTTCCTCCTAAAATAGGCTGACACGCCATAATATAGTTTCAGTTCCAGTTTGTTTTTATATACAGTGGAACTGGAAGCTGTACCAGCATTCGTGGGGACTGAAGAGATAATCCGGTTTAGACAGCGTGCCGGATTGTAGAGCTGACACAGTTACCTATGACTTAATAACATCAACATGATGAATCAAGACATTTGAACAAAATCAGGCATTTTGGTTTGTTTCTTCTCAATTGACGATTTTCCCGGCGACACTTTCTAAGCCAATTGGTTAAAGTATTCGCTTGTCACACTGAAATTGGGTACAATGTGTGATGCCCATTTCTGGTGTCCCCATTGCTGGAATATTGCTAAAAGCGTCGTAAAAACGCACACTCACTCATCGGAGGAAGAATACACTATGTCTTCTTCCTTGAGTGTTGCCGTCAACAGTTGGTCCTCCCACTCTGCGTGTCGGGGTCTTCTGTTGTGATGGTCATGTCACTGGTGACAAAATTAGGAATTGACAGCCTCAGTATTGCAGAGCTTACAAAAGACGATAAATGTATTAGCCACGGACGGCATAGGAGGACCCAGATGGGGGTGCACACCTCACCTTTTGTCCTGGAAGTTTATTAAATGACCTTTGAAACTCTCGTCAAAACGGGTGAAAATGAACTGTGCAAACCCCCTTTCTCAAAAAGCTGTATCCGCCCCTAGACGGACCGAGATTTGTTGCCGGTGAAGACAACTTGCTGGGTTAGACAGCTGACAGTTTTGACAGCTTCCACTGTAGGCCATGAGCCAAATTACTAATCATGATATAGAAGAAATGGAATGACATTGTATGAGATGTATATTGTAGAGAGATATAAACACAAGTTGATCCCCACATAGTTCCTCCACTCCACCCCTAATCCCAGCCCTTTGGGAAAACATACATCAGGAAATACTCTTCAAAGCCGTTTTAATGCCAGCTTACTGATTTGTGTCCTGTGAAGATCCGGGTTAGAATTGATCTTCAGCAACTCATGCTTGTCATAAGACACGACTAATGGGATTTGGTGGTCAGGCTCGCTGACTTGGTTGACACACGTCATCGGTTCCTAACTGCGAGACCCGTGAAGGTCCATGGTTAGAATGTGCCTTCAGTAACTCAGGCTTGTCGTAAGAGGCTATTAACGGGATCGGGTGGTCAGGCTCGCTGACTTGATTGACACATGTCATCAGTTCCCAATTGCGCAGATCAATGCTCATGCTGTTGATCACTGGATTGTCTGGTCCAGACTCGATTATTTACAGACCGCTGCCATATAGCTGGAATATTGCCGAGTGCGGCATAAAACTAAACTCACTCACTCACCCAATTGCGTAGACCGATGCCCATGCTGTTGATCACTGGATTATCTGGTCCAGACTTGATTATTTACAGGCCGCCGCCATATAGCTTGAATATTGCTGAGTGCGACGTAAACCTAAACTCACTCACTCACTCACTTATTGATTTGTGTTGCAGGCATCAGACTATGACGGGAGAGCACTCTATGTGGTACTGATTGTGAAGCCCTTCGACCTTGACTGTGTTGGAATTGAAGAGATACAAACTTCAGGAGCCCCCGCGTCTCGAGTCAAGAACGTTTCAATCTTTGTCGAGGAAACAATACCGAGTATGTATCTTTGTTTATCCATTGTTGAACACCACCAACAATATTGTCTTGACAACAGTTTGTGAGTTGACATGGAAAAGACTATCCAGTGATTGACGTCATGAGCATCCAACCAACAAGTGGAAATTGAGGTGAGGTGAGGTGAAATTGGGTTTAACGTCGTGCTTGAGAATATTTCGCTCATATGACGACGTGCATGCGTGTGTATGTGTATGTGCGGCTGCTTGTTCTAGCCCAGACTGAAGTTGGTTTTATAGTGCTAGCCCACTGAGATAACATGCGACAGTGAAGCATGAATACCCCACTCAGACACATTATACTGACTCTGAGCCGACCAGTCTTTGTTGTACCCATTAATGCCGAGCGCCAGGCAGGGACCAACAAGTACCATATTTTAACGTCTTTTGGTATGACGCGGTCGGGGATCGAACCCGCGACCTTCCGCTCTCTTGGGCGGACGCTCTAACCACTACACCACAGAGTTGGTAGTGGAAATTGACAAGCAGTTGGTAGGGAAACAGTTCTTATCTCTAATCTCCACTGTGTACAAATGTATGAATGGTCACTATGGAAACCTTACCCATATTAATAAAATTATCTACCAAATACAGTTCATTTGATTTTTGCTTATTTTATGCGCATTCACAGCTTATTTCAAGCTCTGAATGTACATATTGCTTTTCTTATGACATATGTTATATTTGGAATTACACTTTCTTTATAAACTGACCGGTGACAATCCGTGTTGGAATTGGTCTTCAGCAACCCATGCTTGTCGTAAGAGGCGATTAACCGGATCGGGTGATCAGGCTCGCTGACTTGGTTGACACATGTATACCAACTGCATAGATCGATGTTGATGTTGATGTTGATCACAACCTGAAGATTTTCAAATCCAAACTGAAGACATACCATTTTAAGAAAACATACAGTGTCTAACTTTTCTTTCTTGAGCTGTTCAGAGAGAGCTACTGAGCAGTACTTTTGGACTGGAATTAGCGCTATATAAATGTTTTCATGATGATGATGATGATCACTGGATTGTCTGGTCCAGACTTGATTATTTACAGACCGACCCATATAGCTGGAATATTGCTGAGTGTGACATTAAGCAACAAACAATCAATCAAGTCTCAATATAGAGATTTAGTGCATTTTTGTTGAGCCCTATCCTAGATTCATACCCACATTCTCACAGTAATGTGCCAAATCACCAGCACTCAAAATGGGCAATCTAACCCACTCAGCCACCACAAAAACAATGGAAGTCTGACAACTGGTAGTCTTGACCACATTCCTTGAACTCCTCTGACAGATGTAAATTGGCACGGTTTCCATGTCTGCTATTCCTGCTATTGTATGGAACGGATGTGAAGACAACAATTAATGCAAGAGAAGTATTAGATATATAATATTTTGGATATTAATAAAATGTTTATTCCTATTATTTCAGAGTATCAGTACTTTAAAGGAATCTTCGCTGCAGTTGGATTCTTCTTGGCATTCTATGTGATTGCTCTTGTCGTGCTGTGCGGTTTTCACAGATGGTAAGGATTTTTTGTGTGCAGGTTCACTTGCCTGCCAACCATTTAATAGTGTTGGTCCATTGTAGATTTATGTAAACATGGAGAGTGTGTGACAGTATGTATTGTCTTAGGGTTGCATGTCATATGTAGTAGTTACTTCATTTTAATACGAGAGTTTGGTCCAAATACACCACGGGCCTGGGCACTGGCGATTGATCGATGAATTGTCGATGGTGTAGCCAGAGACACACATTCATCGACCAATCACCAGCAACCAGGCCGCGATGTATCTGGACCAAGCTCGAGTGATTGGATGAAGTTACTGCTTTGTACCATGCCCACATTCTGCATTCAAATTTCGAAATCTGCGCGGGATGTTTTAATTTAAAATCTTTCAGTTTGAGACTGCCGCCATGTCTAGTTGCGAGTGGGATAAAATTATAGACGACATTACACTGTCACAAATAGTTGATGAAACTGAAGGTGCTAAACTCTGGGATGATACAATCAATGACATCATTCTCCCAGAAGCTGCCGATATAATGGAAACTAAATCTACCATGTTAGAGGGATTGACCCAGTTGTCTGTGCCGAAGTCAGGTGAATGTGCAACATTTACCAGAACTGTATTTTCAATAATTATTGCATACCAAAAATTGTGAAAGTACTTTAAAAAAGATAAGTAGTTCTTGACTGATTCAAACGTTTAATGATGTAGTTGTCACCGTGTTTTTGACAAAGCTGTCATTATTTTCATTAATAGAGAAAAACAAATGTTAGTTGTCCTTTTAGAAGGTTTACGTCCATTTAAGACAGGCAGTTCTATACTGAACAACATTAGAAACCCACCACCCATATAATGCGAAATATCCCTGTCAGACTGAAATGTACCCATGATATCTGAGCATCATCAGTGCATTTTAGTGTGGTGCATTTCTAATGTTGTTCAGTATATTTGTTAAAGGTAGACGTGGCTAAGATTGCAAAGAGCTCATCAGAGGGTTGCAGTGGAAGGCAGTTGAAAACCGTGGTGTAACTAACTATACAATACACCACGGCTGAAATCAAAGCATGGTACAAGACATGAAATATCAGCTTTAAAATATTGGTCCAGATACACCGTGGCCTGGTTGCTGGTGATTGGTCGATGAATGTGTGTCTCTGGCTATGCCATAGTTGTCAGTTTAACCAAAATACCTAAACTAAACTAAACTAAACTAAACTAAACTAAACTAAACTAAACTAAACTAAACTAAACTAAACTAACTCTATTACTTTTCTTCCATGGACTACAATCTTTGTACAACAAAGAAAACTGTAAACAACTCAATGGCCACAGTATCGAATTCATTTTATCATTGTGTTTCAGTAACACCAGCCAGAGCCTCATGGATATCTCAGAGTCGGAGCGAGGTGAGTTTCCATCATTTGTCTTCAGGATCTCATAACCGAGACAAATGAGACTCCGTGATAATTTTACCATTAACAATTTTATGTAAGATTTTCAACTTGAGGTGAAAGTTCATGCATGTAAATTGACCAATCAGCAACTTACAACATATCAGGCAAACAGTCTGGGGGTGCATTTGCAGGTCAGTAGGGCTGCATATGTAATCAGCTTATTTACTGATGATGGGGAGTCATCATGGAAGCCAGAGAAATTAAATTGCACCTTGCCATAGAGAAATAAGTGGCTCAGAAAAAAAGGTTCCGAATTTTTTGGGGACATATCCATGCCCTCAGATGTCACAACTTTGTTTAACAAATTCCACGCCCCCTAAACCCTTACCACCTTGCTCATGAGAGTGGTCTCCCTTACATACCCTCTGCCAGCCGCTGAAGGTTACATCGTCACATCTTGTTGAATGTTACATTTGTATTGTAATGGTTCCTAAACTCTTGTGCAGCTCTATTACCATTTTTTATATAGCAATCTTCGTGTCACAAGAGATAATAAATATCACAAAATTCTTGCGGATGGACTTTGAACAACTTAACAATTGACATCATCATGTTCATGTGCATTGAATAAAGAACAAATTATCTGAGATTTTCATCCAGCCAGTCGGGATAGCTTTAACAATATACTACTGGCCCGATTCACAATCAGCTAGCATTTGGCTAGCAGGCCAGTAGCTATTTTGAACGCTGGCTCAGCTCGCCTTCTTTTGAGGATTTTGGTGATTGGTGGCTATACTTAAACAAAATCAAACGTCTTGTTGTTTTCCTTCCTCTAGACAAGCTTATTGGGTTCATTCAACCTGGATACCACTCAACCAATCAGAATGCAGGGACACCTAGCGGTAACCATAACAATGCATGCTGTTTGTTTAGAGTAGATTCTGTTGTAGTTGTATAAAATCTGTGTGTATTGTGGAGTGGGTTTTTCCCTGTTAACTTTTCCTCAAGGAAAGGTGCCAAGTCCTTAAAGATTTACATGGTTTATACTGGCTTGAAAATACCTTGGATTTTAGGGTTGTTCTTGAAAAGCTTTGATTTTGAAATGCCTTGAAAATCACCAAATGGCATGAAAATCACTAAAATAGAATGAAATGTCTTGAATTTGTACAAAATTATTTATTCATAAACATTTTTATAAAAGTTTAAGTGTGACTTATCACAGTGATGTTTGTCAAAGACTATGAAGTCATGCCATATTTTACTTTCTTTGTTGGGTGTGAAAATAATTTTGGGGAACATTTGTAATTTTCATGGTGCTTTTTAGGTATATAATACTATTAGAAATATTGCATTTCTAATGAGCTAAAATGCATTCACTAGGTGAATATGCGTTGTGCTAACAATCTCGTTATTAGAACGCCAGATAACCCAAGCTGCTTGTGAGGCAGCAGAAGGTTAATAGTCACATGACTTTTCCCACCGGGTACCCATTTTCTGCTGGGTGAACAGAGGCAATTTTGAAGAAACTCAGTTGCCTAAGGTGAGGTGACATGTATCACATGTGCTTAGTATATATTACTGTTACTATTGTATCAACATATAGACTGAAAACAGATATTTGCTGGCTAACACAAATAAGCTTCCCTAATCCTCATTTCCTATCTGCATTAAGCTTTGTGACTTCCTCCTCTAATGTGATCAATCTGAGAATAAATGACTCAGCGAAGGTTTATTTCATCACAACTTAACATTTTAAATATGAACATTTTTTAGGGTGTGGTCATTTATTTTTTGGAGGAGGTGACATTATAAGTTGTTCACTGGTCTCGAGGGGGACTGATGTACCCTCGATGTTTGTTTATGTTCCCTGAGCCCGAAGGGCAAGGGTTGAGTTGAGTTGAGTTGGGCTTTACGTCACATCGGCATTATTCCAGAAATATAGTGACGAGAACAAGTCTGCATTAATAAACATTGTATGAAGGGCGAGGGGAACATAAAGAAACATCGAGAGTACATCAACCCATAGGGTTTGAGGGACCAGTGAACAACGTATATTTATCTTACCGAACATCTCAATGGTAATTTTGAACTGTTTGAAGCATGGGTATCGGATCGTAGTATGGAGTACCAGATGACAAGACAACAAGTAAAACAAATTTAGAGTTATCTCCCTTCCATCGATTTGCATTTGCAAAACGTCGGTAATTTCTGTACATCATACGTGATTCATTGTTATTCAAAATAAAGAATTACTACTACGAAGTACGAATGAGTTCGTCATTCCCAGCGGGTGTGCATAGAAAATGTTACTCGCTTGTAAGCAGGGTACATTGAAAATAATAGAAGAGTGCTCACCATGTGTGGGGCAAGATAAGAAGAAATGTTACATGAAATGGGAGGAATCTGCAAAATCATTTCTTTAATAATAATAAATTGCAATGAATAGTTGTGTCAAAATTAAATCTTCTTTTAATAATAATAATAATAAGGGCATTTGTAATGCGCTGAATTCCGCACCACGGAACTGGTCAGGGTTAGAAACTTGACATCTATAATAGGATGGTGTTAGGGTGTGGGGGGAATGGTTGATCATATCTTATACTGCAGTTATCTGATATTCATTCACATTACACATGGGACATTTTCTATCGGTCGGGGGGCAGTGGGGTAGCCTAGTGGTTAAAGCGTTAGCTTGTCAAGCCGAAGACCCAGGTTCGAAGCATGGGTACAATGTGTGAAGCCCCTTTCTGGTGTCCCCCGCCGTGATGTTGCTGGAATATTGCTAAAAGTGGCGTAAAACCAAACTCAGTCAGTCAGTCTATCAGTCATCTTTGCTTGCATCTGCCGTTCTTTCAGTTCCATAGCATCATTGAGCAAGTATTTTAGATTGGTTTTGATCCAAGTCCATGTGTGGGTGCCGATGTCATTTTCAAATTCTGTTTACCGTGTCAGTGTATTACAACTTGTCTGATTCTAGACCTCAATGATATTTCATATTTTGATATTTGTTGTGCTATTCTTCTCTGAATACACAATGACATTTAGAAAGTGGGCAAAAGTAACACATGTTATATTCAAATTACCCTTTCTTTGTAAAGTACAGATTCTAGTACTTTCGTTGGGTTAACTCCCATCCAGGATTCTAACCCACACCCTCAGAGTCAGGCACCTAATTGCCAGCACACAAAGTCAGCCACTTAACCCGCTCAGCCTCCTCAGCTCCCCAAAAATGGAAGTCGGACAACTGGTAGTCTAGACCACGGACTATGTGTACCCCTCTGATAAGTGTAAATTGCCACGGCTCCCACGACTGAAATCTATGAATACACAATACCATTTAGAAAGTGGTCAAATGTAAGATATGTTATATTTGGGATTATACTTTCTCAGTAAAGTACAGTACTGTAGGGTTGCACTAGTTATAATTGCCCATTTCCTTCTCCCTCACATTGTCAAATATTATCTGTCACCATTTTGTTTGGATAGTAGAGGCTGCTAGTATTTTAATGATAATAATGTGTCTATTTATGTAGCGCCAAACTCCACACTAGGTATGCTCATAGCGCTAACAATCAAGGCACAGCACATTATTACCCCAGATAACCCAATCTGCCTGTTACACACTAGAAGGTTATAGTCACATGACTTATCCCACCGGGTACCCATTGTCTGCTTGGTGAACAGAGGCAATTTTGAATAAACCCACTTGCCTAATGTGAGACCACATGTATCACATGTGCTTCGTTGTAGGGCAGGACTGTAGTCCTAGAAACTCTCGAGTCAAGCTGCCAAACACGGTCAACCATCCAAGAACTCACCGTGCCCAACGTTGCTTAACTTCACTTGATTTGTGGGAAGGTGGGGTAGCCTAGTAGTTAAGGCGTTCGCTCGTCATGCCGAACACCCGGGTTCGATTCCCCACATGGTACAATGTGTTAAGCCCATTTCTGGTGTTCTCCGCCGTGATATTGCTGGAATATTGCTTAAAGCGGCGTAAAACCAAATTCACTCACTCACTTGATATGTGACCTGAGTTCTATGCTAATATTTCCTTGGCAACACCGCAAATGGCGGGATATTTTGAACATTTAAATCTATGCACATGCCAGGTCTGTCACCACAACTGATGGCATCTTTTAACCGATATTGCTTGATGTTGCTGGGAATAATATGCTTCATGTATCCTCTCCTGTTCTTGGTGTTAGCATCTCTGGATATTCTGCCATCTTTTGGAAATGTTTGTGCATTAAGGTTTGGGATATGTTGATTGTTTGTTTAGGTCAAGTGTGTTAGTGTTTTGACTTTTCTTGCACTTATTTTCTTTTCGATGTTATTGATGTTTTATTTACTACCAACAAAATTGTATTTCTCTATTCCAGTCTCTTAACAATATTTTAAAGACATTACCCCCAAACTAATGTCATCGGAATGTTATTTCAAATTTTCTTCCAGCCAAGTTGTGCTTCCTTATTTCATTTTCTCAACTATACTTTTTGAAGGTTACCCCAATATGTGTCAATGGAAGTTCATTTATTTGTTTATTTACAAACCAAATTATGTTTCTTTATTTCAGTAATGCTTGTTACAGTTCAGCAAATCTCATATATTTGAAATATTTATCCATGTCGACAAATTTGTATTGTTTACTTCAACCGTACAACAATAAAAATTCTTAAGTACAATTTGAAATCAGTTCCAATGAATTATTGCAAGCAGTGGACACTCTCCTTTTTCAGGATGACAAAATGGAATGATACATGTCTTTGTGTTTCTTTAAAAGACAAGAGTTATCTCCCTTCTCATTTGTCAGGATCATCAGCAACAGAAAGTACATGCATGTTAATTTATTATCTGACTGAGTAGCCTGATTCACAAAGTAAATAATGTTTGAAACTGAATCATAGCTGTTTGTCGTAGTATTGATTGGTTTGAACGGATTGTTTACAGATATCGACAGCTCTCACTCCTTTGCTCAGAGCGGTGCCAGTTATGGGTCCATGAGTTCTAATATTGGTAAGAGTTGTGTGCCTTGGCTTCCCAGGATCCACTGCATCCCATATTTGGCCCAGTTATAGTTCTTGTTATGTTAAAACAGTACATGTGTTCATGGCTTTCTCCAAAGTGTTGTACATGAGTGTGGGCTCTATTCCTCACCGCGTCATTAGATTGACTCACAGCGATGTAAGTGGTGTCAAACATGTGCCACACGTCTGCTGACGTCTGCTGTCATCATGCTGTCAAAATGCCATCAACATGCCATCAACATATGAACATGCTTTCAAAATATCAACACATTATCATCACCGCTATCAACATGTTATCAACATGCTATCAAATGCCATGACTCCATGCCATAAACAAACAAATGAGACACTATCAATTACGTACAGGGTGTTTTGGTGGAGGGGAACACATTCGCCTGACACCCTCAAAGCACCTAACACCCTGACACCTTCACAGACACCCTGACACCTTCACACACACATAGACACCTTCACACACACCTAGGCACCCTGACACCTTCACACACACCTAGGCACCCTGACACCTTCACACACATATAGACACCTTCACACACACCTAGGCACCCTGACACCTTCACACACATAGACACCTTCACACACACCTAGGCACCCTGACACCTTCACACACACATAGACACCTTCACACACACCTAGGCACCTGACACCTTCACAAACACATAGACACACTTCACACACACCTAGGCACCCTGACACACACACCTAGGCACCCTGACACCTTCACACACACACACCTACACACACACACCTAGGCACCCTGACATTCACACACACACACAACAGCACACACACACACACACCTCTGACATTGTAGTGTATATTACACACACACCTAGGCACCCTGGACACTTCACACACAGTAGGCACCCTGACACCTTCACACACACCTAGGCACCCTGCCAGGCACCACCTCACCCAGGACATCAGGCAACACCCCCAGGACATCAGCGGGGCAATTCACTGGACGAGTCCGACCTTGACTTTCTCCACGATGCCAATGAAGAGAAGGACATCTTCAGGACAAAAGTAAGATGGCCTGTTTTGACTGAGCCAGGGGCTGCGTGCCTGTGTTCTGTCCTCAGATGGGTGTTGCATGATTGGGATAGTACTGATATCTAGGAGGGGGGCGCGGTGGGCAAACTGGCTAAAGCGCCAGGCTAGTGATCCAGCGAGCTTGAGGATGACAGGATCGAGCCCACCTGTGACCAGGTGTAAAAACCTTGGAGTCAACATTGTGTGCAGACTCTTTCAGTGTTGTCACAGCCCCTAGTGTACAGTACACAACCCTGTGCACTTAAAAGAACCCACGAATCCGTTGGTATTTGACCAGATGGTGGTCACATGTATACGTGCAAACACCTAGTTGCGGGCTACAGCAACGTGCAGTAAAACTTTGACAAAGGACTGTGACTATGTGTCCCAGTCCACCCTGCTGTGAATGTATACCTCCTAGGGATTAGGGAAGGGAATGCCTCAATAACTCAGTGCGCCTAGTGGCTGCAAGAGTTGTATGATCCCCAGGGAGTTGAGATTGACAATATGATGTGCCGATGCGATTGACATCCAGTGAACGAGTGAAAAACAAAGTGCCTTTGAGCAGCTGAGCTTAGCTGGATATCGGCCCTATACAAATGTTAGAATGTAATGTAATGTAATCTATGTCGGGACAAAGATCTCTATCTTACCTTCATGTAAAATACTTTAAATTCCTTGGTCAATGACACTTTGACAAGTTTCCTTGTCACTCCTCCCAGGAGGGTGACAACTGGAAAAGATATTACCTGCTGCCACCGTAACCGCCGAACTCTCCGCCGAGAAGCTGTATCACTAACAATCGTATAACGTCATGATGATATGACACATGCAGTGCACAGAGTTCGAAAACTGTTCGATTAGCTGTTTTTGACTTCTCTATGTACACATTTATTTTACCGACTTTCACTTCTTTATTTAAACTATTTTATACATTGAATCGTTTGCACACTCAACTTACACATAATTAACCATATTTATAGCAGTTTTAGGCTTGTCAGAATATTTTCACTGATTTTAAAAATCCAGTCGAAAGGCAGACGCCATTTTGTTTACATGTCATATAGTTGGTAGCGAGCTAATCGATCTTCAAAATAAAATAAAATGATGTGTTGTACATTTTACCGGCTCGGGTGACACTGCTACAAAGAGGCGTACATCAGGCCGTATTACCCTTGCTAGAAGTATACAACCTATAGTGTTTGTACTCAGATCCTTGGTTTTACATGGTAGGACACACTTCAGATGGTGGATGATTACTTGTGTGACTTAGTGTTCTACTGGACTGTTGCCTGTGTCAAACAACTCGCTGATTGTTTTCCAGACAGCCTTGTTTGTGTCAGACCTCGCAAGGAAGAGTCGCAAGAAGTTGTCCAAACTGTACAAGATTTATCACTGGTGAGTCCCTCTTGTAACATGGATGACAGGTAGCCATCTTGGATTTTGAAAACAGTTATGAGGGCTCGATTTAGTGCTTTGTTACTTGCACTGGTGCAACGCAATATTACAAAGTGCAACCTAGTTATGAGTCTTAACTTGCACAAGGTGCAAGTAAACTTTTGAGAAATAAATCAACAATAAATCTAACATTATAAGCATTAATATGTCTGCTCATTTTTCTTCTAAACTTTGAATAGCTATGGCAGTGAAATATTGCTATTCATATACACGTTTCAGCTATGACAGCTCTTGTAAACAGAGATCAGCTGTGTCTCTGTGTGGCTATGGTTTCATAGGTACTACATCACAGAAATATGTTTATGTCCACCGAAACCTCTGACGTTTTAGCACACTACGTTGCAACTGGAATTTGGCTGGCGCAACTAGGTTTTTATCTTAGGTTGCACCTGGTGCAAGTAGATTAACCTCTCTTAAAATTGAGCCCTGGTTATGAAATGTCTTCTCAGAGCTTTGTGTCAATCTCTCACTCCCCTACACTGCCATTGGTGCTTGCCTAAGTTTTTCTCTGCTGTTTCCAGGAATCTGTTCACAATTGCCATCTTCTATGGACTGCCAGTAGCTCAACTTGTCATCACCTACCAGAAGGTAAGAGTGGGCTACATGACCCCAAGGTTATCAGTCACGGCCATTTATTTATTAAAACCAGTAAATTTTCACATTCATAAACTCATGTTAGTCATGATGAAATTTACGTGTTCAAAACTTGAAACTGAAAATTCATTGGATTTATCATTAGGGCTGGGACGATACACTATGTCACGATACGATACGATACACATATCACAATGCATACACCTTGAAAGAATGACACAGTATTAAGATTTAAAATGATTTATTTTAAGGTATTTGTGTATAACAATAGCACTATTGTAATAAACAAACAAGTTACTCTATCATATTTGCGTTTTTTCTAAATAAGTACTTTAACATGTTTAAGACAATACTGTTTTGAAAAAAAGTTGTGTATCGTTTTGTATCGATACACCATTTGACAATATAATAGCTGTTTCAAACTAAATGTATCGTGATGTATCAATGCATCGGTCAATCCTCCCAGCCCATTTCATTTTGCCAGCACCATACTGGCAAATGAATCTGCCAACCTCGGCCTGGTGATTGGGGGAGTTCAATTATGGGGTGTTCAAGACTCAACAGCGTAGTATGCTACATGCAAACGAAGTCATATTTAGTCAGCAGTCATGAAAAATGGATTTTTGTGGATGTAAAATTGTCCTTGACACATTGTGAACTACATTCATGACAAACATGCTTATAACGGACATAGAGAATACTACACGAGGTCTCATTACATACGAATTATACGCAACTTGTGACCTTCCTATGCTATCTGACCGAGCTTTCGCTCACTGTATGTAGTGCAATATTTGCATGACGTGTCACTGTAATGACGTCACTGCCTAGCAATTGGTAACCGACGTCACTGTGCATGTCAGTTGTCATTGCCTTGTACAGCCTCCTACAGTAAACTACTCCGTAGCACCTCGTTTCTTGGTTTCCAGTTGCTTCATTCGGCTAACATCACTGGTGGAAACATTGCGTTTATGTTTTTTGATGGTTATAATGTCTCAGTTCGACTCACAATTAAACAGCGACACGGCAACGTTCGCAATGTTTACATTCCCCACAATGCATTTAAGTTGTAGAATGAATGAATTCATGTGTTTGTTATGAATGAAAAAATAGTTCCGTCAGAATGTGACCTAACTGAGAGGTCATCGGTTATCCAATCCAATCGTTAGAATCTCAGGTCAAGTCGTTACGACACAGGTCAACGCTATACGACACTCGTGTGTCGTACGAGATTAGTATGCAACTACCAATACGTTGACCACGTGGGTAATAATGATGAATATGATAGACAGCCTTGATAGACAGTCCTGACCATTTGCTATATATTTGAGTCAAAATGCATATAACGAACCACAGTCACAGCAATCTATTATAAGTAACCACTTAATGTTTATTGTAACTGTATTATAGTGAATTTATATATTATATAGTGTTTATATCTATTTTGTGATAAAAATTAAAATTACAATCTCTGAGGAAAGTAACATCTGTTGAGCAGTTATACTGACTGGATTCTTGCACTATATGAGTTATGAGTTGATGATGATGATGATGATGATGATGATAAAATCTTGAGGGACTTATGCTGGACATAAGAGGTCAGGCTGTGCCACTTGGTTTATTGCATGAAATTGAAAGTGTGATTGTTTGCTCATGATATCAGTCACTGGTTTACTCTGGATTTGTTGTCAGGTTCTAGTTGCAACTGGGAATGAAGATTTGTGCTACTACAACTTTGACTGCGCCCATCCCCTAGGTGTCCTCAGCTGCTTCAACAGCGTGTTCAGCAACATCGGCTACGTCCTCCTTGGGATACTCTTTATCCTGCTTGTCTGGCATCGGTAACATCAGTTGTTTTGTTCCCATAAGACCATTCACTCACTCTCGCAGTTTAGTTTTCAATGTGTGCACAGTATCTGCTTTAATAATAATTAAAATACCGGGTAATAATTGGGACAAGCTCTAAGCAAGATGGACATATTCCACCGGGTACCCATTCACTGCTGGGTGAATAGAGGCAATTTTGAACAAACTCACTTGTCTATGCTCAGACCACATGTGTGCTTTTCGTTGTGGGACAGGACTGAAGTCCAAGAAACTCTGTCAAGCTGCCAAACATGATCACCCATCCAAGGACTCTCCTAGGCCAATGTTGCCTTACTTCACCTGATTTGTGACCTGAGTTATTTGTACAAGACCACACACCACCACTAGGCAGTATTTGCCTGTGCGAGAAACTCACATTTCAGTTACTCCTTCACATCCATGCTGCAGTGGACAGGGCGTCTAGAACAGGTGTCAGACAAAAATACTGTAAACATACTGTACACACATTGCTGCTTTCACAAATAATAGCTCATTATTTATTTTTGTGACATGATTTGGGAAATCCATTACAGCGACAGTTAAGTACGATTCTTTATGCTACTATCAGTCGTCATTTTAAGATTCCCGTAGATTTCTGTCTTCAAACTTGATGTGTTATGGTAACAACTCAGAGGCGAGCCTGGGTAGAGTGAATGAATGAAAGGTTTATTCGCTGTGTATAAATTTTCGCTGTAAAATATTTTGTGCGAAAAGCTGGAAAATAAAACCTGCGCGATATATAATACATGTACAGTACTGTATGCATCACTGAAAAGGGTAAATGGTTTGATTAGCAACCAAGCAGATTCCATTAGGCACAAGATACCTGAGAAAGTTGAAACCTGTGAGGAGATCCCCAGGTGTTCACAAACAGGGATAGCTAGTCCTGCCCTGTCACCAGCATCTGCTAGCCACAAAATTCCCACTAAAATATATGGTTGTTGCTTACCACACAAGAATGGTACTTGTTGTTGCTCTGCCTGGTGCTCAGCATGATGAAATATAGCCGAGACTGGCCAGTTTTGATTGGACTGTATTTGAATGGGTATTCAAGTGAAACTGCAGGATGGTATCTCTGGGAGCCAGGACTATTGAACTGTCAGTCTAAGTAAACTTAGGCTCAGTATTATTCGTTACACTACTATACTGAGTCTAACAAACCCTTGTAGAAGATCGCGTCAGCTAACCTTTTGAATTGACCAATCAGAACACAGCTTACCAAATCGCCAAAGTTAAGATTTGCACATACCGTTTGAACCTTTACCTCGAAAACTTAAACGATTCTGAATGCTATTTTCCACACGATCGCTTCCGAGTGCTACACATGGAGGACGCAATTATTCTCAACAGTAAGTAAACAGTTGCTGAAAATAGTATTTTTTTCAATATTCCAGGATGTCATCTTGCAAAAATGTAAGGTAATAGTAACCATGTCATCAGAAAGCCCAAAGCGTATATAATACTGCAGGTCAAATATCTGTGCTTTATGCAGATTTTCGTTTTTTGAGAGATCAGTGTCAGCGACCGGCGAAGAGAAAACCCCCAAACCATTTTGTAATTCCCGCCAAAACCTAAATAGTAGCCGTTGTCTGATTGAATATCTCCGTTCGGCGTTTGATTGGATGGTTATAGGTCGCTCAAAGGTTAGCTGACGCAACCTTCTACTAGGGTTTGTTAGAATCAGTATAGCAGTGCAACGAATAATGCGGAGCCTAAGTTTACTTAGACTGACATTTCTTTGGGTCTTTCACACCTTTATAAATTTCACCAGCAGGTTTTTAGACTGATTAAGCTGTCACAAAACCAGACCAGCACATGTGGCCTAATACACGTATGCTATCATGGAAGTGATATAATTTAAATTCAAGGTTATGTTCCATCCTCTTCAGAGAGTAAGTCATCCATCTTGTTTTTTTTCAGAGATTCTTTACACAAAAAGCTGGTCAGAGAGCACGGAGATGTGGAGCAGGTATGAAGTACTGACAGACTGATACTTTGTTGTAGTGAGAAGTGGAATAATGATCAAGTTCTTTTTTGTCATTTTATGTTTATTTTATATTTGTGTAGGGGCTTTTCGTTTGAACATTCCTTGGGATATAAGATTTGGCTGATGGTGTAACAATTGTCCTTGTACAAATTTCACTCACTCACTTACTCATTGGCTGATGGTGTCACAATTGTCCTTGTACAAATTTCTCTCACTCACTTACTCATTGGCTGATGGTGGCACAATTGTCCTTGTACAAATTTCATGGCACCCACTCACTCACTTACTCACTCAATGGCTGATGGTGTCACAATTGTCCTTGCAAAAATTTCATGGCACCCACTCACTCACTCACTTATAACCTGATGGTGTCACAATTGTCCTTGTACAAATTTCATGGCACCCATTCACTCACTCACTCATTGGCTGATGGTGTCACAATTGTCCTTGTACAAATTTCATGGCACTCACTCACTCACCCACTCAGTCACTCACTCACTCACTCACTACTACTTTCACTCACTGAGTGTTTTGTTTGTTGCTGTTACAGAGGTTTGGCATCCCCCAACACTTTGGCCTGTTCTACGCAATGGGCGTTGCCCTGGTGATGGAGGGCGTGATGAGTGCCTGCTACCACGTGTGCCCCAACTACTCCAACTTCCAGTTTGGTGAGGATAGACCGGAGGGATAGTGACGGATGTGTGATCATGTCTGCCACAGCCATCTTGTGCCACTTTTAATGTGCCCTTTGAAATTTAAGCAGTCCAACAAGAAAAATAAAGTATTCTGTTAATTTGAAATCTGTTGCAGACATCGCTGTTTTGAGTTTAAGCAACATGAATTTGGGGTGTCAGTTGAACAGACACTGATTAGAATTCACACAAACCTGCAGAAATGTTTTGAAAAATGTCTCCTCACTGATGTGAAACTGTATTGAAAAAATCAAACTGAACTGACAAGAAAACTTAATACCACTCAATACCCTTGTGAATAGTACCATGTAAATGGCATGAAAACATGTTGATGGCATGAAAACATGTGAATGTTAGAAAACATGAATGGCATGAAAATATGTGAATGGCAAGAAAACATGTCAGTGGTTACGAAACCTGAGGTTTCACCTTTTACATGCCTTTTAACCATCTAAATTTTCGGTCAGTGAAGCACTCTGACCAGTGAAATATGCATAACTTCTTGGTTTCAGACAAGTCCCTCATGTACCTGTGAATGGCAAGAAATTATGTGAATGGTTAGAAAACCCTGCACTCTATGTCACCATTAACATGTTTTTTAATCCAGCATTTCAGTCAGCAAAGAAATCATGTGAATGGTTAGCGAAGCTCTCTGACCTGTGAAATATGACTTGATGGTTCCAGACACTTCCTTCATGTACATCATAGCGTGTTTGTGTATGCTGAAGATCTACCAGTCTCGGCATCCCGACATCAATGCCAAGGCATACCAGGCCTACCTCTGTATGGCGCTGGTCATCTTCATGGCCGTCATCGGAGTGGTAAGATTCCTTATTATTTACCATTGTTCTTCCATCCCTATCCGTGATGATCCGTGTTAGAATTGATACTTTAGCAATCCATGCTTGTTGTCGGTATGAGTTACACTTAAGGTTCACTCCACTCATGTAATGAAACACTTGTAAAAGTATAGCATTTTTTGTAAAAATCGATGAAAGTCAAAAAATAAATTAAGATGTTCCATATCAGGTATAAGGTAATCAAAGACGATGCCATTTTGCCAGGTTATATTCAAGTGGAATGTTCAGGTATATGCAGTTGGTGGTTTTACTCTCAGGTTTATGCCACTGGCCTGTTTTGGATCATCTACGCCATCGTCCATATGTTTGTCAGTCTACTTCTCAGTGCACAGATCTACTACATGGGCAGGTGGCAGATCGGTGAGTAGGCCAGGCTGGGGGTTTCCTTTGTTAAACAGGATCTGAACTTGTCACGTGTGATCTGACCTCATCATATTATCTGACCTCATCACGCATGATCTGACCTCGTCCCACATGATTTGACCTTGTCACATGATCTGACCTCTCACATGATCTGACCTCATCACATGATCTGACCTCATCACACAGGATCTGACCATGTCACATGATCTGACCTCATCCCATGATCTGACCTCATCACACAGGATCTGACCTTGTCCCATGATCTGACCTCATCACATGATCTGACCTCGTCACACATGATCTGACCTCGTCACACATGATCTTACCTTGTCACATGATCTGACCTCATCACACAGGATCTGACCTCATCACATATTATCTGACCTCATCATATGATCTGACCTCGTCACACATGATCTGACCATGTCACAGGATCTGACCTCATCACATATTATCTGACCTCATATGATATGACCTCGTCACACATGATCTGACCTTGTCACATGATCTGACCTCATAACACATGATCTGACCATGTCACATGATCTGACCTCATTGCATGATCTAACCTCATCACACATGATCTGACATTGCACATGATCTGACCTCATCACATGATCTGACCTCATCACACAGGATTTGACCTCATCACACAGGATCTGACATTGCACATGATCTGACCTCATCACATGATCTGACCTCATCACATGATCTGAACTCATCACATGATCTGACCTCATTGCACATGATCTGACCTCATCACATGATCTGACCTCGTCACACAATTATTTTCAGTTTTTCTCACTGAGCATTATAACAGTTATTCCACTGTTTAGTAGTCTTATGACCCGTGAAGATCCGGGGTAGAATAGGTCTTCAGCAACCCCTGCTTGCCACAAAAGGCAACTATGCTTGTCGTAAGAGGCGACTAACTGGATCGGGTGCTCAGGCTCGCTGACTTGGTTGACACGTCATCAGTTCCCAATTGAGCAGATCGATGCAAATGCTATTGATCACTGGACTGTCTGGTCCAGACTCGATTCTTTACAGACTGCCGCCATATAGCTGGAATATTGCTGAGTGCGGCATAAAACTAAACTCACTCACTCACTCAGTAGTCTTGTGGTTAAAGAGTTCACTCGCCAGGACGAAGATCCGGGTTTGAATTTCATATGGGTGCAATCTGTGAAGCCCATTTCTGGTGTCTACCTCCGTGATATTGCTGGAATATTGCTGAAAGGGGCCTAAAACCCAACTCACTCACTCCACTGTTTACATTGTTGCAAATATTTGAAAGTGACGTCCTCCATGGTTCATGACATCACAGGTTTATGTGACAACTTTCCTGAGTTGATTTCTCTATCTCAAATACAGAAGCTAATATTTGTTATACCCACAACGGAGATTAACAAAATTGTCTGTCCCTTCCAAATTAATCCGCTTGAGACAAATGTTCTGTAACTCCGCAAAGAGTTATTATCAGTTTTCTGAAGACGTTGTTATAGGTAATCATGTAAAATTTAACTGATTTCAGATCGGTACATATTCAAGCGGCTGTGGTACGTGTTCGTGACTGACTGCTTGAAATGTGCCCGGCCGACGTACAGGGTGAGTATCCACTGACAATCTAGTTCACCAGTACACCCTGCCGTGATGTTGCTGGAATATTACTAACGGCGGTGTAAAAAACCAAACTCAGTCAGTCAGTTACCTACAGTTACATCGGAACGTGGACAGTTAACACTGCTAATCTGAATGTGAAACACGTAGTTAAATATACAGGCAAGATGGATCTACACATTAAAGTTTCAGGAAGTATGGGAGCCAAGAGATTCATGGTGACACATCACATTCTTTTAAAACTGTAATTTTCAATATATTTAGCTCTATGTTTCTAAGCAAACAACTTTATATTGAAGCTTTGACCAAAAATATAAGCCACTGGTAATAAAATTCATTGGGTGCACCCCTTCAAGAATATAAGGAGGTCAGTTCCAAAGAATTGCCATTACTTAAAAGGAAACATTTGTATTCACCTTTGTAAGCAGCTGCAATAGAAGATAATGGCTGTATTTCTATCTGTGATGTAAACTGCTGTCTCTCTTACAGACTGACCCGTGATGATCCGGGTTAGAATTGATCTTCAGTAATCCATGCTTGTTGTAAAAGGCAACTAACAGGATCGGGTGGTCAGGTTCACTGACGTAGTTGGCACGTGTCATCGTATCCCAATTGCGTACATCTATGCTCATGCTGTTTATCACTGGATTGTCTGGTCCAGACTCGATTATTTACAGACCGCAGCCATATGGCTGGAATATTGCTGAGGGCGGCGTAAAACTAGACTCACTCAATCACTCTTACAGACTTCTAAATGACTTTTACCGAAAAGCTTCGTGACGTGGAATTTGTTTCTTCCTTCCAGGACCGTTTCTTCCTCCTGCTGGTTGGCAACGCAATCAACTGGGCATTGTAAGTTTTGGTGATTATTTAAATGTTGTGGGGAAAGAGGCAGTTCTTATTCCCCATTAATTAAATGAATGAAAAGTCAAAATGATGATTTGGGACACAGGGCTCCAGATAAGGGCCGTATCGGCGTATGTACGGATAAAAAATATGCACGATACGGTAGGAAATAATTTAGAAAACGTAGCAGATACGCACCACTACAATGGTGTACGGTCTTAGAATCATTTACAGATGTATTTATCTGAAAAAGTACTGTTTTATTGTTTATTGACCTGTTTACACAAGATTAGCAATGTTGTGGTGCGTATATGAAACGAAACACAAGGTTACTGATCCGCCATTAAATTCCATTCCGTACTCTGAATGTACTCTTATGTTTTTCCAGTACTCCTGCTTTGAAAAAATAAGGAGTATGTACTCCTGATGTTGAAAAATTATCTGGAGCCCTGGGGACATTTAACACGGCAAATCTGAAACCATAATAGGCTAATACCCAAGGGAAAATCCCACACTAACTAAATGTTAACAGAGTTACTTTCTTCCCTATGGAAATAATATCTCCTGACTAGAGTTCCATGGAAGACAGCAGTGGGGTAGCCTAGTGATCAAAGTGTTTGCTCGTCACGCTGAACATCCGGGTTCGATTCCCCACATGGGCGGGGATGGTGGGGTAGCCTAGTGGTCAAAGTGTTTGCTCGTCACGCTGAAGATCTGGGTTCGATTCCCCACATAGGCGGGGGTGGTGGGGTAGCCTAGTGGTCAAAGTGTTTGCTCGTCACGCTGAAGATCCGGGTTCGATTCCCCACATGGGCGGGGTGGTGGGTAGCCTAGTGGTCAAAGTGTTTGCTCGCCACGCTGAACATCCGGTTCGATTCCCCACATGGGCGGGTGGTGGGGTAGCCTAGTGGTCAAAGTGTTTGCTCGCCACGCTGAAGATCTGGGTTCGATTCCCCACATGGGCGGGGCGGTCGGGTAGCCTATTGGTTATAGCGCTCGGTCGTCACACCGAAGACCCGGGTTTGATTCCTCACATGGGCGGGGGTGGTGGGGTAGCCTAGTGGTCAAAGTGTTTGCTCGTCATGCTGAAGATCTGGGTTCGATTCCCCACATGGGCGGGGCCGTGGGGTAGCCTATTGGTTATAGCGTTCGGTCGTCACGCCAAAGACCCGGGTTCGATTCCCCACATGGGTACAATGTGTGAAGCCCATTTCTGGTGTCCCTCGCCGTGATATAGCTGGAATATAGTTAAAAGTGGCGTAAAACTTAACTCACTCACTCCCCGCATGGACACAATGTGTGAAGCTCAATTCTGATGTTCCCTGCCTTGATATTGCTGGAACATTGTTAAAAGAGGCATAAAACCATACTCACTCACTCCATGGACGACTTTGTCCCTCGGTAATAACATGTGTTACGACAAATGTTGAGCTATTCAATGCATTTTTTCAGCCACTGACCATTAAAAGCATGAGATTTACTAATCCACGTTCTGGTGTATTTGGGTGAGCTGACCCAATAAAAACACAAGTACAGCTGTTTCCTTCTGTTCATGAAGACAAGGGGCGGTGGGGTAGCCTAGTGGTTCAAGCGTTGGCTTGTCACACCGAAAACCCAGGTTCGAATCCCCACATGGGTACAATGGGGGAAGCCCATTTCTGGTGTTCCCCACCGTGATGTTGCTGGAATATTGCTAAAAGCGGCGTAAAACCAAACTCAGTCAGTCAGTCAGTGTAGACAAATGTCCATTCTAGTCAATTTAGACAGTTTTGTCATCTTTGAACTAAAGGTCAAGAGTTGGATCATTTCAAGGATTAAGATACGGTGGAAGCCGTCTAAACTTTTCCCTTTTCAACCTGAGAATGATCTTCCGAGTGCCGTAAAATACGACGGAACAACGTGTTGATAGTCATCATATTCTTGATTCATCAATAAAGATAACATCCGGTACAGCACGGAAAAACAAACCAGTCTCATCGCAGTTAAAAACATCTTCTCTGGGCGCATATCCATCAATCAAAGTCGCGAGGCGGGAGCTTAATGCCGATGGTAATCCACAGTGTTGTTAATACACGTTCAGCCAATCAGCCACAGAGCCGGGATACCGGATGCCGGTTTAGAGAGCATTAATTACTGTACAAACAGTCATTTGGCGGTCTTTGTTGTGCCGTGTACAGAATAGACTGACTCCGGATAAGAAGGCGTAAATGATCATAAATTAACTAGCTTCTGCCGGGACGAAATCCTAGTGCCGATATTGAGAGCATGCCAGATTGGAGGGCTGCCGGTTTAGAGGGCTTTTACTGTATCAGAGATATTGCATTTTTATGTGTGACCTCACAGTTAAACATACAAGGACACATTGATGCACAATGGTTGAACACGCAGACATTTAGATCAACACGTGGTTATACACAAAAATGGGTACACAAATAGTTGAACTTGCGATAACAAGTCACTCTTCAACCTTTATAACCTGTGTCATTCACACTTCAATATTTGGAACTGTGGAAGACTTAAAGGGTGGTGTGGTAGCCTAGTGGTTAACGCGTTTGCTTGTCACGCTGAAGATTCAGGTTCGATTCCCCACATGGGTACAATGAGTGAAGCCCATTTCTGGTGTCCCCCGCCGTGATATTGCTGTAATAATTTTAAAGCGATGTAATACAATACTCACTCACTGACACTGGAAGACTTGATCTTTGTTTCAGTGCAATCTACGGAGCTATCCAGCAGCCGGCCGACTTCGCCAGCTACCTTCTCGCCATCTTCATAGGCAACCTCCTCCTGTACTGCCTCTTCTACATCCTCATGAAGGTAGGATCACTTCTGTCGTCTAGGGACTCATGGGGTAGTCTAGTGGTTAAAGCGTTCGCTCGTCACGACAAAGACCCAGGGTCAATTTCCCACCAGGGTACAATGTGTGAAACCCATTCTGGTGTCCCCCGCCGTGATATTGCTGGAATATTGCTAAAAGCGGCGTAAAACTAAACTAACTCACTGACCTTGTTGCCTAGATGAATGTAAAAAGAATTTCCCTGTTGTTATGCTTCCTCGTGCTTTGCATTATGGGATAAAACTCAGTCAGAATATTGTGTCGGATCAATGCATCTATGTTGAACTGAACCATGGTATCTCAGGGAGCGAACAGAATCGGAAACTATCACCTCAGTACTCCTGTGGATAAATTGTCTGCCTGAGTCAGGAAGGTCTGTCACTTGATCTTCAGAGGTGAGTAGAAATTGGGTTTAACGTCGTGCTTGAGAATATTTCACTCATATGACGACGTGCATGCATGTGTATGTATATGCGGCTGCTTGTACTAGCCCAGACTGAAGCTGGTTTTATAATGCTAGCCCACTGAGATACCATGCCGCAGTGAAACATGAATACCCCATTCAGACACATTATACTGACTCCGAGCTGACCAGTCCTTGTTGTACCCATTAATGCCGAGCGCCAGGCAGGGACCAACAAGTACCATATTTTAACGTCTTTTGGTATGACGCGGTCGGGGATTGAACCCGCGACCTTCCGCTCTCCGGGTGGACGCTCTAACCACTACACCACGGAGGCGGTCCCTTGATCTTCAGAAGATCTGTAACATGGTATCTCACTGAGCTAAAACCAAAAACTTGTAGAATCAAACTCATTGAGATCTGCATGCTCACCACTATATATTGCTATTATCCTGAACACGACCTTGAAGCCCATTAGCCATGTTTCATGTATCACATAGTTTGTTCAAGCATTGTAAGACTGTGATAAATACAGTAAACATTTTTTGTAATATCTGAGAGAGTGAGTATAGTTTTAGCAATATTCATAGGCCGATCCAGAGGGGGATGCAGGGGTGCGCATCCCCCTTTTATCCTGAAAGTTTATTAAATGTCCATTGAAACTCTGTGAAAATGAAGTGTGCACCACCCCTACCCCCACCCCCACCCCAGCCTTTCTCAAAACGCTGTATCTGCCCCTGATATCACTGCAAGGGACACCAGAAATGGGCTTCACATATTGTACCCACGTTTGAAACTTGTAATATTTGTTGTTTTCGATATGTAAACATACTAGTATTCAAAGTTATCTGTTTATCATTTCATTGATTCTCAAACGAATCAAAGTAATACACAAAAGTAATTGTACCATCTTCAGAGGAAGACAGTGTCTAAGTGAATGGCTTGATTCTGTGTTTGTTCAGCTTCTGAGTGGAGAGAAGATCAAGTGGGTGGCCATCTTCATAATCCTGCTGTCCATGGTGACGTGGGGGTCAGCGTTCTTCTTCTTCTTCTCCCACCTCACATCCTGGCATGTAAGTATGTTCTAACTTAGCCTGCAGGGATGTGGCTTACAATGTGTCCCCATCACCAGATTCTGCGTTGTCTTAAGCTCACTATTGCTTGTCATTCAGGCCCCGATTTCTCTAAACAAACTAAAGTCTGAGTTTTGACTTAAGTTAGACTTTTTAACTCAAATTTGAGAAAACACAGCAAAGTGCATTTCCCAGAATGGACTGAATCGATATTAAACTCAAACATAGTAAACAGTTTGAGTTTGGTGGATAGATTACATAAGTTGTTTTCCCTTTTTTAATTTAAAAATGCAGTTGAATCACAAATTCAGCTGTTTCAACTTGTCAAACTCAGTTTGTTACGAGAAATCAGGGCCTGTTGGGTTCTAATGTTAGTATAGGCCTCAAGTCGCTCTGTGAGGACTTGGCTCAGAATAGATTTTGTGGGGTTCTGCAGTTTGTGTAGGTCCACAGCTCTCTATTGCTTGTCACCCTGTTGGTTCCTGAAGTTAGTATAGGCCTCAAGTACTCTGTTGCAAGTCGCTCTGTGAGGACTTGGCTCAGAATAGATTTTGTTGGGTTCTGCAGTTTGTGTCGGTCCACAGCTCTCTATTGCTGGGCACCCTTTGAGGTTAGAGTAGGTTCCCAGCAATACATTGCTGGTTACTGTGTGGGGTCCAATATCTGGTGATGCCAGGTTATAATTGGTCAACTGCATCCTGTGCTGATAAGAAGAATCAACTCAATGAATCAGGCGGACATGCTGAAACAGTTGAATAGGTGTCATTTAGGAAACAAACATCATGTGTTGGCCAATTTGCAGATGTTATTGAGTATTTGAAGCATGGGAATTCATTTGGAACCGATGACATTAGCCTAAGGTTTCAAATGAAATATTCCTGTGTTTCAAATTCTCAATAACACCCGGAAATTGGCCAACACATGATGTTTATCGACATTGTCAACACAAAAAGTAAACCAAAAGGTGAGCACACGTTTTTGTGTCTGCACTCACCGATATGGAGTGCAGGTACAGCAGAGAAATGTCATCAGCCGGCCGTTTCGGCTGGTTAACATGGTAGCATCTGGAACTGCTCACCTGTAACGTCATCATAATTCCAATATTGTTACATAGACTTTGAAGATCACTTTGAGGAACTCTGTGTGGGTCCAGACTTGGTAGAGACAGATATGTAGCTTGAATATTGCTGAGTGCCGCTTTAGACAACAAACAAGTAATCTTATATCAGTAGTTATCTTTCTGCATTATATTATAGATCATGTTTCTATGATTTTCAGAAAACACCGGCAGGTTCGAGAGAGGGTAACCGTCCCTGCATCCTGCTGGAGTTCTACGACGCCCATGATGTCTGGCACTTCATGTCCGCTGTCAGCCTCTTTCTTTCATTCCTGGTGAGTGATGCAGATAATATCCACCGTATTTACAAGGATCTACAAGATTTTACCATTGCAGATATACCCTTGCATAGAGAAGGTCATTTTTGATATCCAACCTGTGGGGAGTTTAGTCTTTTTTGATATCCCACCTGTGGGGAGTTTAGTCATATTTGATTTCCCACCTGTGGGGATTTGTTTTTTTTATTTTATTTCTCAATTGGGGGAATTTTGATTTTATTTGACTTCCACCTGTGGGGATAGGGGCCTATTTTACTTCCCGTCTGTGGGGAGTTTGGTCTTGCGTAAATTCCCACCTCACTCACTTCATAAAAAATGTATGGCACTAGCCAGTCATCAAATAGAAGTGTTCCATCATCATCATCATCATCATCATCATCATCATCATCATCATCATCGTCGTCGTCATTATCATCATCATCATCATCATCGTCGTCATCATCATCATCATCATCATCATCATCATCATCATCATCATCATCGTCGTCGTCGTCATCATCATCGTCATTGTCATCATCATTATTGTTGTCATTGTCGTCTAGCCTAGAGGGCTCTTCAGTAAAGCACTGTCCTTGTTTTTCAGATCCTGATGCTGCTGGACGATGACCTGTCCTTGAAGAGAAGAGACAGAATCCCAGTTTTTTAACAAGAAGTAATCACAGAGTTATCTACCCATGGATCTTTCATCAAGTATAGTGTTGTCAACCTGATGTCAACTAGTTTTCTTCTTTGTCAAATGCCCTTAAAACATCGCAGTGCCATTCATGTGTTCATATTTTGGATAATTTCTGACATTTTCACAAGCAGTGTTTCAATCTACACAAGCATTCAGATCAAGCCTTATGTCCTGTGTCTTCTGTCTCAAAATTTGGCTGCTGCCTTCCATAGTTCATCTTGCTGGGTCGTCTATATCTCCAGAACTAGCATTTCAGTAAGCCTACACTAGCCCATGGATCCATTCATGTGGTTCTTCAAGTTTCAAATTACCTGCCCTTGATTTTTATTGTCACTTAAGATTTTACCAACCAATCAAACGTTGGCATAAGGGTAAGGGAGGTAACTCTTATTACCTTGAAGTCAGAGCCAGGTTTTCATGGCATGAACACATCCTTTGCGTCAAAAAGATTTTTCAGAAGTTTTTGGCATGTCATCTAGTCTTTTGTCTGTTTTCGTAAACATAATCCTTATCAGTACGATTGGTCACCATGTTGATGTCGTCAACCCAACATTGATGCTGGTTTGTAACTTACTTCTGTTTGGTACTTTAAAGCCAGTAGGCAGTAGTGTAGCCAATCAAATTGGCAAATGGAAATCAAGGGCGGGGTAATATGAGACTGCGAGAACCACGTGAATGAATCCAGGGCTTAGTACAGGTGTACCGAAATGCGAGTCCAAGAGATATAGAGATATGCTAGGGTGAGATTTAGTAACATCTCGTTGGAGATACCACTACACTGATATCACTTGACAATGCTTTCTTGACCATTGTGATCATTGTTGCCATGGCTACCATGCAGTCACATGACATCACCAACCTCAGGTTCCTGTTTATTCTGACCGCCTCCGTGGTGTAGTGGTTAGAGCGTCCGCCCGGAGAGCGGAAGGTCGCGGGTTCGATCCCCGACCGCGTCATACCAAAAGACTCTTAAAATATGGTACTTGTTGGTCCCTGCCTGGCGCTCGGCATTAATGGGTACAACAAGGACTGGTCGGCTCAGAGTCAGCATAATGTGTCTGAATGGGGTATTCATGTTTCACTGCGGCATGGTATCTCAGTGGGCTAGCACTATAAAACCAACTTCAGTCTGGGCTAGTACAAGCAGCCGCACATACACATACACACGCATGCACGTCGTCATATGAACGAAATATTCTCAAGTACAACGTTAAACCCAATTTCACCTCACCTCACCTCCTGTTTATTCTGTGGTCGAATGGCCTGATTGTAAATTGTGCAAATAGCTCTGCAACCATTCCTACTCATAATTCTGCATACATTATGTCTAGCTTTCATGAACTTCATAGATTTGCACCCATTGTATTTTTGGAAGGCAATTTCCCAATTAACATATATCCATCATGGTTCAAAATACCCCATATATTAGCGTGCCATGGCACGGTAAATATTGAAATGGCACCGCTAAAAAATGATCTCGGTGCCCTTTCGACACGCCTAATTTTTCATTTAATCCCCAAAACAATTATTTTCTTCCAAATTGAATAAAACCATACATATTTGAATGCTCATTAACCCATTTCTTTATTTAACAATAAATTTCAAATGATCATCATCATTGTCATTTATTCTAAAAACATGTGGGCATACTCAATTTCTGAAAGGCACACCTAAAATATTTGTCTGGTGCCCTAAGGCACACTTAGAAAAAAAGTATTTCTATCCTGTCCATTGCGAATGTATGGTTATTGAAGTGAATTTGAATACTTGTCTGCACACACAGACATGAACTGTCAGTGAGCAATTACACAAAAGTCAACCTCTCAAAATGTTTGAAAAATGGTTTGTAAATTTTTCATTTTTTTTCATTTTTTCCATTTGGTGATTTAGTGAAAATTGTTGTTAACAGAATTTTGCATATTCATTGTAAGTTCATGGAAAGATTGTGAGTGAAAACAGGTAATAGACTTCTACAAGTTTACAAATGTTCAAATCATTCAAAAGGACAATTACTTAAACCAAATTTCATTTTCAAATTTTCTGTCTTATTTCAGGTACTTGTCATTTATTTATTTTTTTGTGACACACTCAATTCCCCTTCCTACTTTGAACAAGGATTCCCGATAAAACTGGAGATTCACATTGCTTTTCCATGTATTTTCATATGATCAGCTAGGCTATACTATATAATATATACAATATTATCATATTTCTTCATGATCATGATCTGACCAAAATGTGTTTAAGTGTCCAAAAATTAAATTGAGCTACAGAGGCATGTGAATTGCTGTTTTTATGGACTTTTTAATGAGCTGTTGGATTTGTCAGTTTATGACAAAATACATCCTGAGAGGCAGGTATTACTTCTATTATTGGGAGTCTTGTTTAGCTTAAAATTATTAAAAAAACATTAGATGAGTGTAATACACTCGCGTAACCTTGATTCGTGGATATAAGGGAAGTGCAGCGAAATTCATATTTTAAATGCATGATTTCATTTTGTATACGCACTGATTATTTTATTCATTGATTCAGCAAATTGAAAATGCCAAATATTCCACCCATGAATGAAACGTTTGTTTACGGAAGCCATTTGCAATCATCACCCATTTTTGTGCCCACAAAATGTGACGTCACCTTGTTTCTTGGATTACGTAGTCGGTTTCTTTATACCACTGTGTACGACATCCCACTGCAGTAAGTATTGACACCAAGGAAAGCAGACAACAAGAAGTGAGAAGGTTGGAGCTAGCGGTATCTTTTTTACTTGACATTTTGTAAAAATAAAATTTGGTAATGGTGGTATTAGTGATATGGGGCTATTTATCTCAATGCTGGACAATTATATTTAGTGTACTTGCGTGTAAAGCAGAAATTCGGAACCTTTTTGTCAGCGAGGCGTGGCATTCTACGTACATCAAAAGTTCTGCTTCGTGACATCAGTCGATACTTAATTTACCAGGTAGCATGATAATTTCTGCGATCCACGAATCAAGGTTATCCACGAATTTAGGTTACGGTTCTGTATATGTTGTAAATGATTAATCAAAAGTGCTATATGTGCTTACTGTATACTTTGCTGTATACTGTAATTGTGCTAAATCTCATATTTGACTAGTTATGATGACACAACAGATATCTGTATTTTGCAAACCACAAATTGCAGCAATAAATTGAAAGCATAGCATCTCAATATTTCCTTTGGAAACTGATGATCCACATTTGCATAGATGTATTTAAAATGTTCAATTCACCTTGACTGTTTGTTCTCTGTCTGGTCGGTAATGCTATTATTATTATTGTTATATGGTATTTATATAGCACACATATCCACGCAACTAGTACATGCTTAAGGCGCTGTTTTTTCCCCCTCGATCATTGGATGGTAATGTCAAAAGCACATCATATTATCAATCTCAACTCCCTGGGGGCATACAACTCTTGCAGCCACTAGGTGCAACAAGTTATTGCGGCTTTCCCATCCTTACGAGGTACATGTACATAACAAGCCCAATAAGTGATGATTATGGCTGGCTAAAATGATCGATAATCCTACTGTCTGTAGGAAAATATATTAATGATTATCAATATGAAATCAATATGATCAAATCAATAATTATCAGTATGAAAATTGTGTCATTGATAATATCATACATTAACTTTTGTTATTTTTATTTTCTCACACAATATACAAATTTAGGACTTTATACATGTATTCATTTCTTTTAGACATTTTTGGCATTTTGCTCAAAGCTACAGCTGATACTTACCGATAATCGATATCAATCTTAATCATCTATGTCGATAGCCAGTGCTACTGTTAATTGACTTAATGCCCCAAATTTGACTGAGTTTGTACTCCTAGCATCAAGACTCTCATTATGACGATCTTGAGAGGATGGCTTTTTGTCAGGATTCTCTCCTTTTTCCCGGTGTCCTAATGTTACCAGTTCTGAAGTTCACCTCGTGAATTCATGTGCTGTGAATCTACAGTTAGTTTGCTACACTAGTATTGAATTTTCTGTAGTCACAATCAGAAACATACATCTAATCCGATCAAATTTGTGAATTTGTGCTTTAACAATATGTCTACCATTGACAAAACCAACAGTCACAAATGCTGTGATAAGTGTGAATAGAAAATGATGAGAATAGTGACTATTCATTTTTGAGAAAGGTGACCATGAAACATATTTTTCAAACAGCCTAATACATGAACAAAGCATCCACTGTCTGTGAGGGTTTGAGGAAATAGAAGACGAGGATGTAATATGTCTTGTCTATGGATGGGAAGGCTTCTCAGGTTATTTTGACACGCTATGTTAACAGTGCCTTGTGAAGCTGGGTGTTGACATCGTATGTTCTGTGTGTTCCGTTGTCTCCTCTGTTACCGCGATTATTATTTTCGTGTCAATATTATAGTGTTGTTCGCAAAGGTTTTCATCAAATTGATATGAATCTTTTTGGGGACATTGTGGTGATTGTTTTGGTTGGCGCTTGTTAAGGTGTATACAGCTTAATAAAGATTTCGAGAAGATTTAGTTTGTAGAGAGCCTTTACACATTCAGAAGTTTTTGTATTACACATTTCAGGGTACACACAAAACAACACACACATACTTTACACGCACACTGACACACTCTCACTCGTACACCCTCTCACATTAACACACACACAAAGTTACACATGTACACACAGGCTCACTCACACTAACAAACTCTCACAGTGACACACATTCACTTTAACACTCAAACTCTCAAAGTTATATACACACATACATCACACACACACTGACACACATTAACACAGATAAGCTCTGAAAGTTACATATACACACATACATCACACACACTCTCACACACTGACACATTAACACATAAACTCTGAAAGTTACATATACCTACATATATTACACACACTAACACACACACTGACACATAACTCTGAAAGTTACATATACACACATACATCACACACACTAACACACACACCTACACTGACACATTAACACACATAAACTCTGAAAGTTACAAAAACACACATACATCACACACACTAGCACACCTACACTGACACATTAACACACATAACTCTGAAAGTTACATATACACACATACTTCACACACACACACAGTGACCCATTAACACACATAAACTCTGAAAGTTACATATACATTATCACAAACACATACTGATACATCTCCTTACATACATACTGAAACTTACATACACATACACACACATTAACACACCTACACTGACACATTAACACACATAAACTCTGAAAGTTACATGTACACACATGCATCACACACACTAACACACACACACACACCTACAGTGACACACCTACAGTGACACATTAACACACATAAACTCTGAAAGTTACATATACACACATGCATCACACACCAACACACACACACCTACAGTGACACATTAACACACATAAACTCTGAAACTTACATGTACACATATGCATCACACACTAACGTGCATGCACGTGCACACACACACACAATGACACAAACACAAATGTCTAAAGTTACATATACACACATATATTACTCACACATTCACATCCATCTATACCTCCTTCCATCCACCAACTCTCTCTCTCTCTCACACACTCACACACACATACTCAGTTCAATTATGTTTCTCTCTTATTTGGTAATATTGCAATTTGAATGATTTTCTTAATGTATGTTTTTTGTATATTTGGCGGGTATCGCTCTATATGTTTTGTTTCTGATTATGGTAGGCATTGCTTGTGTTTTGTTTGTGATCTGATAATTGTGAAGTTGCACAGTTGCTTACCATATAACTGATAATTGCTTCACACATCAGTGACAATTGCTTCCCATATCAATGATGAATGTCTTAAGACATTGCAGTACTTACGGCCTGTGCTGTCTCCTGTCTCCTGTCAACATCAGATCAAGACATGATCAACAGATTTAATAAAACATCCTAAAAAAATTTCTGTGAATATTTTTAAAAATCATTGGAAGAGATCTTTTATAGAACTGACTGACTACTTGATGTTCCTGGGGGATGGGGGAGGTTGAGGGGTGTGTGAATGGGGAATGTTAACAAATAAATGAATTCCATCTTTTCTTACATTGAGGAGGTCATTGTCTGAACCACTCGCATTTCAAAATAACGCAACCCGTGAGGTCCGGGTTAGAATATTGACCTTCAGTAACCCATGCTTGTCGTAAGGGGCGACTTACGGGATCGGGTGGTCAGGCTCGCTGACTTGGTTGACACATGTCATTGGTTCCCAATCGCGCAGATCGATGCTCATGATCACTGGATTGTCTGGTCCAGACTTGATTATATACAGACCGCCGCCATATAGCTGGAATATTGCTGAGTGCGGCGTAAACTCAACTCACTCACTCACTCAAAATAGCGCATATGGGTATGGGAGTCTATTTTCAACATCTGAGAGATGCCATTAATCATAGGATCAGGAATCTTGGCACCATGCACATTTGATCAAACATTTCTATTTTCCCCTTTGTACATATAACGTTTATTGATATTGTAAAACAACATTTAAGTCACTAAATTTCAAGGTCATACTCTTTTCTGTGTCCACCAACTGGTGGTGAAAAAAACGCCAGTAGAAAACCAACTGAATTCATGGTCTGTGTGACTATATGGAATTTGTTTTACATTTGTTTTCATCTTTTTGTAACCATGATTCATTTTGAAAAATGCCTGATGTTTCTGTGTATGTTTTTTTTGTATATAATGTAATGACTTGAAATAATGCTCATGCTGTCAGTCACTTAAGTGTCTTGTCCATGCTGCTGTCATATGGCTGGGATATTGCTAGGTAGATTAAGACAATAACGGAAATGACAAAGTGTATTGGGTGGTCAGGCTCATGATGTCAGTCACAGGATTGTTACACAGCATCACCTGACATCAAACTATGGACCCTGAGTGGAATCCCACCATTGGATAGACCTGGGTTGATTCCCTCCATGGTGTAGTACTAGAACATCTGTAGACAGGTGGAGGTAGTGTAGAGGATACAATGGTCACTTCTCTCACCACAGACCTGGGTTGATTCCCTCCATGGTGCAGTACTAGAACATCTGTAGACAGGTGGTGGTAGTGTAGAGGATGCAGTGGTCACTTCTCTCACTACATATCTGGGTTGATTCCCTCCATGGTGCAGTACTAGAACATCTGTAGACAGGTGGAGGTAGTGTAGAGGATGCAGTGGTCACTTCTCTCACCACAGACCTGGGTTGATTCCTCCATGGTGCAGTCTGGGTTGATTCCCTCCATGGTGCAGTAATAGAACATCTGTAGACAGGTGGAGGTAGTGTAGAGGATGCAGTGGTCACTTCTCTCACTACATATCTGGGTTGATTCCCTCCATGGTGCAGTACTAGAACATCTGTAGACAGGTGGAGGTAGTGTAGAGGATACAGTGGTCACTTCTCTCACCACAGACCTGGGTTGATTGCCTCCATGGTGCAGTAAAAGAACATCTGTAGAGGATACAGTGGTCACTTCTCTCACCACAGACCTGGGTTGATTCCCTCCATGGTGTAGTACTAGAACATCTGTAGACAGGTGGAGGTAGTGTAGAGGATACAATGGTCACTTCTCTCACCACAGACCTTGGTTGATTCCCTCCATGGTGTAGTACTAGAACATCTGTTGACAGGTGGAGGTAGTGTAGAGGATGCAGTTGTCACTTCTCTCACTACATATCTGGGTTGATTCCCTCCATGGTGCAGTAATAGGACATCTGTAGACAGGTGGAGGTAGTGTAGAGGATACAGTGGTCACTTCTCTCACCACAGACCTGGGTTGATTCCCTCCATGGTGTAGTACTAGAACATCTGTAGACAGGTGGAGGTAGTGTAGAGGATACAATGGTCACTTCTCTCACCACAGACCTTGGTTGATTCCCTCCATGGTGTAGTACTAGAACATCTGTTGACAGGTGGAGGTAGTGTAGAGGATGCAGTTGTCACTTCTCTCACTACATATCTGGGTTGATTCCCTCCATGGTGCAGTAATAGAACATCTGTAGACAGGTAGAGGTACATCATCTGCTATCATTGTTTTCTGTGTTTCTGTTGAAGATATAAGTTGAATAATTTCAGTTACCATTTTTAATCTTGTAAGATATATATTCAGTTGTGAAATCTTGCATATTTTCTATAATGTTTCGTATTTATCCTGTTATGTTTTTTGATTTTTTGTTACTTCAGGAATAAAATGTTAATTACCCTTTGTATTTGTTTTGTCTTCAGTTTCATGAACATACGCACAGGGAATAATGTACGCACTCGCTCACTCTCTCACGCACACTCACTCACTCTGTTTTGGGACGATGCGGTAACAAACTGGTTTAGCGCTGTTCATCAAGCCGAAAACAAAGGTTTGATTCCTCCACATTGGTAGCAGCAATATCACGGCGGGGGACGCCAGAAATGGGCATCACATACGGTACACATATGGGGTATCGAACCCGGGTCTTCGGCGTGACGAGCGAACACTTTAACCACAACACAGTTCGACAACGTTTACGTCATCACGGGATCAGACCACGCCGTCCCGCCATACGGCCTATCCTGACAAAACGTCATCGACAAGCTCGCCGAATGTGGTGCCGAAATCATGTCCGCAGACCCTTGTTTTGATGGAGAAATGTTGTTTTTACAGATGAGTCCAACATTTCCCATAGTGATGGACGTCACCGTGCCTATAGACGCTTGGGAGAACGTTATGCACAGGCCTGTGTGTTGGAGAGGAATCGCTTTGGTGGTGGTTCCGTGATGATTTGGGTTGGAATAACAGCACGCCAAAGAACTCCTTTGGTGATTGTTCAGGGCAACTTAACTGGTGTGGGCTACAGGGATCAGATTCGTCGACCTGTGGCAATTCCTTTTCTGCAACGTCATGGCCCTGGGTTAACCTTCCAACAGGACAATGCCCGCCCTTATACGGCAAGGGTTGCTATGGATTTCTTGCAAAACCACAAGCTTGACTTACTGCCTTGGCCTGCAAATTCACCGGATCGTTCCCCGATAGAACATGTTTGGGACGAGATGGATCGACATCTACGCCGTCTTTCTCATCCGCCAGATAACGTCTTTGACCTTGCAACCGAACTTGAGAGAATCTGGCGTGACATCCCACACACTGTGGACCTGAGAGGCCTCAACTTATCGTGCTGGGCAGCCACAGTTCGCACGAAACACTTGGGCTTCTGAAGAAGGCAAAGGTAAATGATGTAACCATCCTAGTTTTTCCTCCCCACACATCCCAGTGGCTTTGCCCTGTGGACAAATCAGTATTTGGTCCACTAAGTAGGGAGTGGAACAGGGTATGCACTTGAGAAGAAATCCCTTTAACTAATTTGAGAACGTGAATCCCTTCAGTTGCTACGTACCCAGAAACACTTTTGCAGCTGACCAGATTGGGAGTCACACATACCCTGCAAAAGTAATTGACCAAGACGACCGCCCGTAGTGGTCGGCTCTAAAGGCCAAAGTTCAAAATGGCGATGCCAGCAACAGGCACTGATGACTGTCCACCTGAAAAGACTGAACTTGTTAAGTCAGTGGCGTCGGTAGGAAAACCGAATCGTAAGAACATGTTTGCAGTTGTGCAAAGCGAGGAAAGTTCTAAATCAGACACCCAGTGCAGTCGTCAGGTAAGAGACAGAACTTCAACTTTGACCAAGGAAGCCAGTGAAACGGAGAGTGTCAGGCCGTCTACATCGGCTGGGAAAAGTGAAGCGATGTCTGACAAACACATGGAGAAGTTACTAGGCGCTATAGTGGAGACACAGCGGGTGCAATCTGTCACCATGCAACAGTTTGGTGCTGCTATGGTTGCTTTTAATGAAATGTTCAGAGAATCGTCCGGAAAGTCACAGAAAGAGCCGAACATTTGTCAACAAACACCAAGCCGCCATGTTACTGGAAACGAGGACGTGAAATCTCGTCAGATTCGGATCACGATTCTGACTTTGAAATGGACTTGTTAGAAAGTGACATGTCAAGTTATACAAACCCCGAATGCGATAACAAAGCTGAGGAGGATGAATGTGTGAGTGTCAGTGAACTAGTGGCAGATTTGAGAAATTTCTTCAGTGAAGATGAATCTACCTTGGAAAATATACAGAGGATCTGGCCACCTCTATCGAGAACGGACTTTTAAAAGCCCCAGTTCACGAGAAGATGAAAGAAATTAAGTACAAGCGGCCAAGCAACGCCCTACTTTACTTGTACCGAAAGCAAACGAGGAAATATGGACAGAGACAAACAAGAACACAAGATGTGAGAGCTCAGTACACACAGGGTTTTGTGGTTAGAGCAACTGTCCCGATCGTGTGTGAGAAAATGATCCTGTTTGGACACTGGCGAATATCAGTGTATCAGTGATACAACTCCTGGTTATCTGTGTGATTCCAGTGATCAAATGCTACTAAAGCTTCCCCAACATCAGGCTCAAGACATTTGGCGGAAGATCATTCGCATATAATGCTGCTGTTGAATGGAACGCTCTCACATTTGATCTGAAATCAACTCCAACTCTACCTTGTTTCAAGAAACATCTTAAGACCTACCTGTTCAACAGAAATGAACTGTAAACACACATGTGATATCTACGAACTCTGTTAGCGCTTTGAGCACACTTTGGTGTGGAGTTTAGCGCAATATAAGAATCCATATTATTATTATTATTATTATATTATTATGGCACACACACACACACACATATATATAAAATGTGTGACAGACTTATATTTCTTTAGGGAAACATACTCCTTATGTATACCCTTTTTAAAATCATAATCTTCAATGCAAATTAGGTAATTGATTCATAACATTAATAACTTCCACAATCTCTTGATGCAATATACCAATTGCGCGTTCCGCTTTCTCTGTTTTGTTTCTCGACGTCGAGATACCCACACTTCGAGAGGTGACATTCGGCACCATCGCGAGACATTTCAACACTTAAGCATAAAAACGCAGTTATATTTATACACCTGCGAATGCATTCTTCCTGGGGTACGTGGTGATATGATTTATGGTTGTGACCAATTATTCCCAAGCCGTCATATATTGTCATCGTCTTTCCGTACACATGGCACTCTGTAACACAAAATAAAACAACTAGTAAAAGTCACTTTACGATACAGACCATCAGGGCTTGTGACATGAACATAAAAATATCGAATCTGATGTCATCACATTCAAATCCCTAAAGACACTTAAATTTGAACAAAGAGTTTTTAGTTTGTAAGACGCATCAGCTATTTGCGGCCACAAACAACACTTATGTTCCATAGGAAACGAGTGTAAAATAAAACCTAAGATGGTTTACATCAAATTAACTCCTTTGAGAGGCATTTAGAAGTCGGAAGGACTAAGATCACAACATATGGTTAAACAATTTCTTTTGACAATGGAAACGTTTCAGTTTAGGCTCTAAAACCCTTATGGAGCAAGTGCTAATCAGAGTATCTATGAGAGGCATATAGAAATCTCGACTCAACACGACGGGATCACAGGATCACTTCCACCTAAGAGCATCTTGCATCCGAGCTCAATCACCTGAAACAAGTCTTCACACAGTAAACCCACTATCCTCGTGCAACAGACAATGCACAGCATCACCAACGAACTCCAGAAATCTCCCCAACAAACAGTACCCTTTGTTACCTGTCAGCCATAACATCCAGATACTCTTTAAGTGAGTGAGTGAAGATTTTTAGTTACATCGGCAGTATGTAAGCCATACAGTATGTCAGTGACTAATCAATGTTGACACATAAATCGAAAATGTAAAAACCTGCTCAAGAAATACATTAAAAACAACCAGAACATAACAGATACAAGTATAAAACCAGCATGTAGCTATAGATCCAAAACCACAGACAAGACAACATATAAAACAAGCTACAAATCGTCAACAACTGAAAGTGCATCATCATACTAAGGACCATTGGGTCTTACGGTACGTTTGTTTCCTACATGGACCCTAACTGGATTTACACCGTCACTTCAGCCGTTGCCGATTGTGCTATTAATATATTTACAAAACATATTTATCAAATTCAATTTCTTCAAAAACAAAGAAACAATTATTAAATGACAATTGGCTGGTTACAAAGATCCTTAACTGATTTTACATTTAAAAACAGGAAAATATAGATGTAGTGAAACAGTGAACTACCATCCAGCCAAGTACAACCACTTCGAACAGTATATCATGTTCCATGCAATTTTGGACAGGCTTATGATGTGAAACATCCAGACCGATCGCAAGACGAATCAGAGCTCATTGTCAAAACTTGAGTCCAAATCAGCCTCATCAGACCATATCCGATACAACCAGATCATCCAATGTGACAGGTCAAACAGGTCAACTTCAAAGACGTTGAAATTAGAAACTCAAAGATACTATCTACATCAAGACTTCAACCATCAATCAACCGTGGACAAAACTATTACATGCATCCAGCTGCATTAAACTCTGAGGGATCAGAACAGGATGAGACAATAATGATGGGCAAGGTGTAAATAGGCCTAGTTGCCGGAACAGCTATCTAACCTTTAATAATCAATCATCAATTCAGCTTAACATCAACTCAGCAAAGATTCCCATAAACCATAATCCGTTTGTTGATACTAAATGCTTCATGTATTTGGGTTTCCGTACATTCATTTTGATATTGACTCACCTCTGACACATGCTTGCTTCGCCTTGTCGAAGCTGAGACCAGGGGTACACTTGCACTGTCCCTTGAAGCATACGGAACCATTGATGTAACATGCATTGTCATCCGCGCACCATTCATACATGCCACGAGGTTCTGCAAGAAATAATGTATTTATTTGATATAAATCCATACTGTTAATGATGACATTATTCAAGCGGGAGATTGCACACTAAATCAATTTTTCGCAAATTATATTCCTAACACTAGGGATGGAATTACTTTTTAACGCCACAAAAACAATAGTTGAGCCATGTCATGCTGAGAAAAATAGACCATAAAAACCTCTCGTCAATGGACAGTAAACTTTGAGAAGTATCACAGAAAAACTAGCATGTTATCATAAAAAAACAACAACATATCACTATAGAGAGCAATACAACATATAACCTGGCTATAGGTCACCATAAGGAGGCGATTGGAAGGATTGCAACGTAATTTAGTAATATATTGAAGAAACAAGTTAATGTGGTGGTGTGTTAAAGGAGGCATGTTA